TTATTTTTGTATGAGGCAAAACTGGTTTAATAAAAAGTTTCCCCTGTTCACATGACACTTTTTACTGATCATTATCAATTATAGAGTTGTTCCTAAGTAGAACAAAGATGACATACTCGCCCGTTTGATTTTTTTATTTTATTTTAAGTACTGACTAACATCTTAATCAAGACTAGGAGAGTAACTACCGTTAAATTCGTTAAATAAGCCGCAGGTTTTTTTCTCTGTCATTGTCCCTGCGTGTTATACTCAGGTGCGCTTTATGTATGTATTTTTTTCAGTTTCAGGGCAAGCGTGAAAAAAAATATATATCTGTATTTTTTTTATGGAGACCGTCAGATTGTCAAGTGCTTGCAGTGACTTGATAAATTTTTCATGTGGCATATTTTGTTATGAATAAAAATATATATACTTTATCATTTGTTCTTTATTTCATTGTTGGCTTACGGAGTTGATAACCATGTGTTTATTACATAAACAAAGAAAGATAACCGTGTTTGAAAGAGGATATTAATTGTGTATTTACAATAAATATGTAATTGTTTGTTGTTGTAATGTGTTTTTAAATAAAATCTTCTTTAGAAATAATAAAGAAAGTGATTGTGTTTCTTTCCAATATTTCAAGTCTCTTTTAATGACGATGGTGATAACCATGTGCTGAAATGAACCCTTTAAAGTGTTTCATAAACAAAGAAAGATAAGCGTGTTTGAAAAGAGGTACCATACAGGATATACTATTGAGGAGTAACTGCTTGTTGTTTTATTGTTTCAAAATGAAATATCTTTATGAAATATTGTAGCCACATATTGGTGTAAGAAATAAAAAAAATGAATATTAATTTTCATAATTCAATATGCTAAGACATTTATATATCGCCGTCTTATTTGAATTCCCCTTTCCGTGGCCCATCTCACTTTCAGTTAAAAATAGACAATGACTTGCAGAAACTGAATGGTTTTGTTGCAGTTTTCAACCAAGTTTAAATTGAAAAATGTTTGTTACTTATAAAACTTGAACTTTTATTTTATAAACAACAATAAAATTCTTTAGATTTAATTTAATAATTTTTTTTCCTGACTTATGGGTGAACAGTTTTCACACGTGGGTACAGGTAATTAAGTAGGTCATAATCAAGGTAAACAATGGCAGTTTTATGGCTTGGGTAACTTTTAATGAATACCTTTTCAAGATTAATTAAAATCCTTGATTCCAATTCAAACAATAAATAAGCAATCAACACCGAACTAATTTTAATCAAAACAACAAGGTTCAATGGACACCCAAGCTGTCAACACATGGCCATTGTTGACAAAAAACAACTAATGAATCTGGCATGATTAAAACAATAAGAAAATTATAATAATTTTATTAACATTTATTTATTTTAATATGAAACAAATAAATATATACAAAATGTCTTTCAACTTTCTCAACAATCTGAAAATAAAAATGAAACATGTTACGGAGTGAGTTACAAGAAGGAGTGAACATTCATTACGCTAAGGTCAGTAGAATGCATGTACATTTTCATCAGGGTGCGCTTTATATGCAGGTGCGTTTTATGTAAGGAAAAAAACAATCCTCACCCCCAAAAACGGCTGTGCGCCTTATTTAGGGGTGCGCTTTTTAATCCGCAAAATACGGTAGTTATTTGCGTGAGATTTGAATGATCTTTACCGATTGCATTACCTGGTCGATTTACTACATCAAAAGAACAACTATCCTCCTGAAGTTGGGGGATCGTTAGATGCTGGTACTGAACCTGGTAAAAGTTGTGTTTCCTCTTGTCTAGATGCAGCTCCTTATGTTGCAGTGGCTTTCCATCTTTTTGATGACCTTCTTGTATTCATCTTAGTGCCAAACAACTATAAGATTAAATTGAACAACCAAAACAGAATATTGCTTTGTACTATAAATAAAGAATTTGTCAATTAGCGAACTTTAAAAGTTCATTGACGCCTATAACCAACCAGTTTAACATTCATCTGTCAGGAATGAAATATTTGTGTTTACGTGAAGTGATACCGTTGCACAAATGTCGGTCAGCTTCCGACAATAAATTATTCTGGGTTACACGAGCGAGGAGGCTGATTAAACAATCTGTACCGAATGACGATGCTGTTAAAAATAGCGCAAGTGAGGTGATATATGCTAATTTATATTATAAAATCGGTCAAAGTAATTAAACGGACACAGAGTTAATTTAACAGAATACTAGACGATATTTAAAACACATGTACTATATATAACTATCTATAATGATTATAATAACATCTAGAATGATGATAATAACATCTAGAATGATGATAATAACATCTAGAATGATAGTAATAACCTGAGGTGGATAATAAGACAGCTAACAAATTGTTGCGATTGCATATATAATGATGCTTACAGTTAAGGTTATGGTGATGCATACATGAAGAGATAAAAAATAATTATGTTGAACATGCGTAACCTTCAATTAGCATTAAGCTGTGACCGCCGGAGTGAAATGTGCAGATCGGTGTCAAGCGTTGAGATGAAATGGAATAAAACGTGTATATCTCTATGTAACAGTACATAAAAAAAATATTAATGGCTCAATTCTTATACATAAACACCGATCGCTACCTCCAGGGCCTAATCTAGGATTTTGATGAGGGAGAAGTGACTTCTCCTTCCATGAGAGAGAAGGGAGAAGTGGTCAACTTCTTGGAGAAGTGAGATTCCATTACCGTTTCGGTTGCATCGTGTTTTCAAGCTTATCACTAAGGAAATTGTTTTATATTCAATAAAAGATGTACTTGCAGTTTTTTCATATGTTATTGTACACAATGTATATATAGAAAGTTCTTAATAAAAAGGTTTAAACAATATATAGTTATTTATTTATTGATACCATAATGTGTTCTACATAAAATTTGTTGATTGGGACATGAGGGAGTAGCCTAGTAATATTATCAAGATTATGATGCATTAAATTCATGTGCATCTGCCTCAATTTATTTTTAAAACTCCAGAAAAATATGATGAATTTCACATGACTGGGAATTTTATTTATATCACCACTTGTCATTGTTTTGTAAAACATTATCAGATTATTGAATGTCCAGGACATTTAAGTTAGTTGTAGTAAATTGAGATTATTGTTAAAGATTGTAAGTGTAAGTCTATAAATGAAAATATCTTTCAATCTCAAGTTAATTATCCGATAAAGAGCTAATTTCTATCATTTTTTAAAAATATCATTCATATCAACGAAGTGGTCATGAGAAAAAATCCACTGCTGATCACAATCTGGTCGAGTGTCGTACGTTTGCAATCAGAATCACATTATCCATCAGCAGTCTTTCTACCTTTTATATTTCAATTTTTATTCAATGAATATAATAAATCTACCGTTAATTCCCACCCTTTACCAACCGAATAGTAAAATTGATCGACTCGTGTAGGTAATAAAAATAAAACAAATCAGCTGAGTGATTACGCAACATCCTCAGATGAAAATCATCGTAAAACGATAACTTAAACAGACGGTCAGTTTTCCGTTTGTCAATGAACAGTTTTGAAAGTTATATCCGAGGATGTTCAAAGTCGCCGTTGTATTTATTTAATTTGATCGTTTACAATATTAGTCCTGGGTCGTTTCGAAAATCTCGATTTTCCTTGTCAGCCGCCATTTTTTTTTTACCTGTGAGACTTGTAAATCACAAGTTGTCTCCCTTTTACCGATTTTGATAGCGATTTGACTTCGCTATGAAGTCAGTCGGCCGGCGAGATTTAGCGATTTTCAAAATTCTTTGGCGACTTAAATCGTCATTTCGCCGGCAAGATTATGGCCTGTACCTCCGGATAGTAAAAGTATTATAACATGTAAAAATAAGCAAAATAAGCAATAAATTGAAATTAATTTGTTATAAAACACTTATATTCTATTAAATATCCCACAATTGTTGCGGGAGACTAACTCTAATTATACCACCTGAGTTCCAATTGTAGAAAAGTGGTACCAAAACCTGCACAATGTGGATCCTATATCTTTTTAATCACCAAAATAATTTTCTTTAAATCTTTAAATCACCAAATAATATTCCGTCTGTTTCTTTCAAATGTCGGAATGAAAAGATCGCGTGCGCAGTCATATTGCGCATTGACAAACATACATCTGATAGCCTACATTTAATAGAGATGAAACAGCTAATAACACAAGTAATCTATGCTTACACTAATAACCGAATTTATGCTGAATCATAAATTCTATTAAATATAAAGGGACATAACTGAAGAACAGTTAAAAGTGACACCAACCAAATTCAAACTTGATTTGTGTTTTGTGATTATAAGGATTGTGTATAAGTTTCATAATATTTGGTTGATGAAAAGTAAAGTTAGAGTATGAGGATTGTGTATAAGTTTCATAATATTTGGTTGATGAAAAGTAAAGTTAGAGTATGAAAATGGCAAATTCACCTTTTTTTTCATTTTCAAAGGGACATAACTCTATAACTGTAAAAGTGATGCCACCAAAATTCGACTTTGATCTGTGTTTGGTAGTAATAAGCATTGTGTATTAGTTTCATAACATTTGGTTGAGGCAAACTTAAGTTAGAGAACAGAAACAAATTTTGGGACATATGAACAGACGAACAAGGGTAAACCTTACTCATAACAAATTAAAACATTATGCTATAACATGATTATAAAAGATCATAACAATCACCCAATCAACACTGTGAAAAGACTGAAACTTCCGCCAATCCATCGTCTTCAGATGTCAATCTTATAAACAATGCTTGAGACAATATCTTAAAAAAGTTTGCAAGCAACTTTGAAGCAAGCCAGTCAAAATTTGTGTTCAACAAGGGTTTATATAATAACTCCAAGAAAAAATGGAAATTCAAGTACCTTAGCTCCATGATCTCTAAACAGGAAGAAATTTTGTATGGTTTAAATTTAGGATGGAAAATCTTATGAATGCTAAATCAAATTATAGTGGCCTTAACAATAACATGTATAATAAATAAATATCCCAATATATTAACAATATTTAAATCTAATTCAACAAATAAATCACAAAGATTATCTTAAAAATGGTCAAATTCAGTTTTGCTGGGTATTTCAGAAAAATCAGCTCTCATTGAAGTTCTCAGCAAATGCACAACTAAATGCTATGTATATATTTCACACAAAACAGTGATACAGTTCTTTGTAGATCTTAATCACAGACCAATCTATATTTCTATCTGCAGAAGGTCAATACTAATTTTGACATTATAACCAGATATGCATTATTTACGAGAGAGATGAGTCTCACATCACAATCTCATATCAAGTCATGTCTTGAACATGTTTAAAACCTGGTGAAACTCCATATTCCATAAAATCTGATGGTGTTTTACTCAAACTTCCTATTGTAAACTTTCCATTTGAAGGTGATATAATATCTTCAGTAATGAAATCATCTTCTTCATTCTGCAAAGACAAATTAGCAAATTATTTTACAGAAAATAAGGTGTTTCATAAGGTAATAGTTTTTTGGTTAAAACATTTGCAAGACCAATTGTGACCAGATTTGTTATTGTTTAAATATTTTAGTTTAGAGACTAAATAAAGCCCTGGCTACACATAAATTGAACACAATCAAATGTTATTCTATATATACACTGGTCTTGTTTAGCAAATTTGTATTTCTGTATTTGCATGGCAAAATAGTGAGGTGCAATTGAGCCAAGATTTGTCCCTTGAAATAGAAAAAATTATCAAATTCTTCAAAACTGGCCAAACATGAATAATGTGTACATGTGACTAATTTCGGGCCTGTTTCGTCAAGCTACTTAAGAATCATCCAATAAATAAACCAGAAGTATTTTCTTTTCTACAGTTAAACTGGGCTTTTCTTTAGTGAAGAAAAAAAACAGTGCTTTGAACAATTAATAAAGCTATTTGATTATATTATTTATAATTTGTAAATTTGAATAATATTAAATTGTTATTTTGTTAAAAGCATTATTCATTTCTTATATAAGTGCAGACTCCTTCTAACCCATCACTTATGTCTATGATAACCAGTTCTTCTTACAACAAATCTCTTAAAACAAATATTGATGACCTGTCATGCTTATCACAGAGAAAATGACCTAGTCCTGAAAATGATTTGAAATACTACCACATGAAAATGAAGTCAGGGTAGACAGTTAGAAAGAGATCTATACCTTTATACCACAAATCTACATTCCAAAAATTGTCATGACACCGAGAAAATTAAAGAACCTTTGTGAGGATGCTAACATACTCCATGCCCCCACATTGTCACAGGACAAACAAGATCTCACCAGATTCCTAAGTTTAAAGTGGCTTAACTCCCAGAAAAAAAAATTGAATCATAATTTCCTGTCGATATGCACATCTACATAGTATGTCCTAATAAACTACAAAGTTTCATGAAATTCTATAGTATGGATTCAGAGGGTTTGTGATGACAAACTGTTGCAGTTGTATATTTAGGTAGAAAGTTTTAAGAGGCATAACTCCTAGAAAAAAATTTGAATCATAATTTCATGTAGATATGCACATCTACATAGTATGTCATTATTATCTACAAAGCTTAATGAAATTCTGTTGTGTGGTTTCAGAAGAGTTGTGATGACAAGAACAGGACTGACGGATGGATGGACGGATGGACAGACAGACAGGCGGACGGGTCAAAAACATTATAGCCTACGGAACTTTGTTCTGTGGGATATAATTACCTTATCCTGAAAACAATATAAAGACAAAATGTTGCCCTAATCGTATATCACAACTGAAAGAACATATATATGATAATAATAGAACAGAGTTCCAATGTCCCTCGCATTGCACATATTTAATCTATCCAAGGGCAATAACTAAAAAAAAGTACTTTTCTTTGTTCTTTAAAACAATTTATAAATATCTTAGAGAAATGGTCATGTTGTTGTCTCTTTGACACATTCCCCATTTCCTTCTCAATTTTATTCAGAGCAAATGCAATCCGATTTCCGTTATAAATAATTTTTCCAAGGGGCATAACTCATTTAAAAATAATTAATCGGCACTGATTTTCGAACTCTTCCATGACATTACTGATATAAACCTATGACATAAGTTTCATAAAATTCTGGCAAGAATTGTGCACATGAGAGCGCTAACGATGCAATTTTCCATATAATCTAAATTTCCAAGGGGCATAACTCTTTTAAATAAAATGCTCCGCAGGGCGCAGCTTGATACGACCGCAGAGGTCGAACCCTGAACAGTTGGGGGAAGTATGGACACAACATTCAAGCTTGATACAGCTTTGGATTTGGATTGTGATTAAATATTTGACACAGCATAGGTTTCTAACACAGATTGAATGTGGTCTAAGAACTTAAAAATTTTAAATTGGACATTCACCTATTATGGTCCAATATCCAAAATCTAAATACATGGTTAGATTCAGCATATCAAAGAACCCCAAGAATTCAATTTTTGATGAAATCAAACAAAGTTTAATTTTGGACCCTTTTGACCTCAATGTGGACAAAGTTGATAACGGGGCCCAAAAATCAAAAATCTAAATACATGGTTAGATTCAGCATATCAAAGAACCCCATATATTCAATTTTTGTTGAAATCAAACAAAGTTTAATTTTGGACCCCGATTTGGACCAACTTGAAAACTGGGCCCATAATCAAAAATCTGAATACATGTTTAGATTCAGCATATCAAAGAACCCTAAGAATTCAATTTTTCTTAAAATCAAACTAAGTTTAATTTTGGACCCTTTGGACCTTAATGTAGACCAATTTGAAAACGGAACCAAAAATTAAGAATCTAAATACACGGTTAGATTCGGCATATCAAAGAACCCCAATAATTCAATTTTTGATGAAATCAAACAAAGTTTAATTTTGGACCCTTTTGACCTCAATGTGGACAAAGTTGATAACGGGGCCCAAAAATCAAAAATCTAAATACATGGTTAGATTCAGCATATCAAAGAACCCCATATATTCAATTTTTGTTGAAATCAAACAAAGTTTAATTTTGGACCCCGATTTGGACCAACTTGAAAACTGGGCCCATAATCAAAAATCTAAATACATGTTTAGATTCAGCATATCAAAGAACCCTAAGAATTCAATTTTTGTTAAAATCAAACTAAGTTTAATTTTGGACCCTTTGGACCTTAATGTAGACCAATTTGAAAACGGAACCAAAATTTAAGAATCTAAATACACAGTTAGATTCGGCATATCAAAGAACCCCAATAATTCAATTTTTGATGAAATCAAACAAAGTTTAATTTTGGACTCTTTGGACCTCAATGTGGACCAATTTAAAAATGGGGCCCAAAATCCAAAAACTAAATACACGGTTAGATTCAGCATATTAAAGAACCCCATGAAATCAAGAATAAAACCCCATTGAAATTGGTCAAGAAATAAGCAATTTATAGGAAGTATCTTCTTTTGCACAATCCTGTGCTATTAAATATTTCTTGCTATTGCGCAATACTGTACAATTGACAATTTCTTGCTATTGCGCAATATTGTGCTATTGGATATTTCTTGCTATTGCGCAATACTGTGCAATTGAAGATTTCTTGCTATTGCGCAATACTGTGCAATTGAAGATTTCTTGCTATTGTGCAATACTGTGCAATTGAAAATTTCTTGCTATTGCACAATACTTATTATATAATAATTTACACATCCTGTTTGGTGTGTATCTCCTACCATATCATTATTATTTGATTTTAAATACAAATCAGAAATAACCAACTTAAAATGGAAAATTTTAAAAGAAACACAAAAGGAAAAAAAGAAAAAAAAGGAAAAAAAAATAAATCCCCCCCCCCCAAAATTTTTTGAACCCCCATTATGATTCATCACCCCAAACTCAATCCCAGCCTTCCCTTTGTGGTATGGTACCTTGCAGTACAATTTCAGAGAGATCCATACACTTGAACACAAGTTATTGTCTGGAAACTAGAAAAAAATGTGTTTTTTGGCCCCTTTTTGGCCCCAAATTCCTAAACGTTTAGGGCAATTACCCCCAAACTCAAACCCAGCTTTCCCTTTGTGATATGGAACCTTGTAGTACAATTTCAGAAAGATCCATACACTTACACACAAGTTATTGTCATGAAACTAGAAAAATGCTTGTTTTTTGCCCCTTTTTTGGCCCCTAATTCCTAAAATTTGGAGGCAATTACCCCCAAAATCAATCCCAGCATTCCTATAGTGATATGGAACCTTGTGGTACAATGTCAAAGAGATCCATACACTAACACACAAGTTATGTCTGGAAGTTACAAAAATGCTTATTTTTGGCCCCTTTTTGGCCCCTAATTCCTTTACTGTTATTACCATAACCCCCAAAATCAATCCCAACCTTCCGTTTGTGGTATTGAACCTTGTGGTAAAATTTCATAAAGATCCATTCACTTAAACTAAAGTTAGAGTGCGAAAACCAATGTGTCTTCGGACGACGCCGGACGACGCCGGACGACGACGACGACATCGACGACGACGACGACGCCGGACGACGACGACGCCATTGTCATACCAATATACGACCACAAAAATTTTTTTGCGGTCGTATAAAAATAATTGATCGGTACTGATTTTCAAACTCTTCCAAGACATTGCTGATATAAACCTATGATATAAATTTTTAAAAAAACTTGCAAGAATTGAACACATGAGAGCGCTAACGATGCAATTTTCCATTTAATTAATGTTTCCAAGGGGCATAACTCTTTTAAAAATAATTGATCGGCACTGATTTTTGAACTCGTCCAAGACATTGCTTATATTAACCTATGATAAAAAATTTATAAAGATCTGGCAAGAACTGTACACCTGAGAGCGCTAACAAGACCAGACGGACGGACAGAAGAACGGATGGATGAAAGGTATTTCCATGTCCCCCGCAACATGTTTCGCGGGGGACAATTAGAGACAACTGAAATGAAGTTATTATTTAAGAAATGTTGTTAATAACTGTATAAACATACTTCTTCTTCTTCATCTCCTTCCTCTATAGAACCTTGATACTCTCTGTATAATGGTAATATATATTTCCTTGACCTAAAATGGAAACAAAGCTTTCATATTATTTAAATATTATAAAAAATTTAAATTTTGACCATTTTTAACCAAAATGTTCTTTCAAAGACTACTACAGCTAAGATGTTTCAATTATAATACTTGAGTGGTCCTAGGGTTTTATCCAAATTTGGCAGTTCAATAAGCATGGAAATGTGATAGTTCGATCAGTGCATGATGTCCTTTGGACACATATTCTTGTTTAGTCATGACATAACAATGAGTGGGCGTCCCTATTCTTGGCATTTGATAGAAAAATAAATGAATTTGTTCATGTTATCATATCATGTTTTAGTAGAAAAGTAATTTTGTCCTTATTTTAAACAAGATTGCACAAACTGAAATGGCTCGCCTGCTTTACTGACCATTGATTTTATGTTGAAAGAATAAAAGATGACAGTTTCACTACAAGTATCACATAAACTTAACTTTTTTAAAGATCCATGACAATAAGGTCAAGGTTAGATATATCCTGCCAGACAGACATGTACACCTTACAATTATTCCATACACCAAAAACAGATGGTCTATTGCTATTAGTATTTGAAAAACAGACCAAAACACAAAAGAGGGTGTAAAAAATCCTTATTTAAGGGCAATCACTCCTATAAAGAGTGACAGTATACTAACTATATCGGCAAAATTTGACTTGTTTACAGATCTTGTCTTGCTGATCATTTTTGAAATTTAAAGTTTCTATTTATCTATAATAATTTTTATCATATAAAGCAAAATGCAAAAAAGTTGGTAAAATTCGTCATTAAAGGGCAATAACTCCAATAAAGGAGTTGTCGGAATATTACCTCCATATTGTCTTAATTGTAGATTTTGTCTTGCTTACCATTTTTGCTTATTTAAGTTTCTATTTATCTATTATAATTTTTAAAAAATAAGGCAATAAATGGGAAATGTATCCATGGGACACAGATGATGCCCCCCACTTGCATATAATGTTATAAAGGGACATAACTCAAGAACTGTTAAAGTGACCCTACCCAAATTTGTACTTGATCTGAGTTTTGTGGTAGTAAGTTTCATTACATATAGTTGAGGCAAAATTAAGTTAGAGAACAGAAACAAATAAACTGTTATCACAGAGATATGTCTTGCCTTTTTGTAATTTTGATAATGCAAATGTTGAAATTAAAATAGCAATACTTTAACATGTAAGTTATGCAAATATTCAAAGTCGATGAACCATGACTGAAGGTACATGGCTAAACAATCTCCGTGGAATGAGATGTGCCAATACTAATACAACTGCATACCAAATACCATTGACTTATTATAAGTCGTTCCCTTTAAACAAACCTAAACACAAACATTAACTTGTAAACTATGTAAAAGTTTCAAAGTCAATGAACCATGATCAGGGGTAGGGCTATATAATCTCCATGGAAACAATACTTGCAAATGCCAATAAATTTGCATACCAAATATCATTGACTTAACATTAGCAGTTCATCTTAAACTGATCTAATCACAAACTAATACATGTAAAATAAGCAAAAGTTTCAAAGTAAATAGACCATGACTGAGGGGGTGGGGCCAAATATTCTCCATGGAAATGAGATGTGCTAATGCTTATACAACTGAACACCAATTAACATTGGCCTACCACTAATGGTTCCCCTTGAACTGACCTAATCACAAACTAATACATGTTAACTTAACAAAATTTTCAGTCTATAGACCATGACTAAGGGGGCGGAGCCAAATAATCTCCATGGAAATGAGATATGCCAATGCTTATACAACTGCATACCAAATATCATTGACCTACCACTAGTGGTTTCCCATAAATTGACCTAATCACAAACTAATACATGTAAACTATGAAAAGTTTCAAAGTCAATAGACCTTGACTGAGAGGGTGGGGCCAAATAATCTCGATGGTAATGAGATGTGTCAATGCTAATACAACTGCATACCAAATATCATTGACCTACCACTAGTGGTTCACCATGAACTAGACCTAATCACAAACTAATACATTGTTGACGCCGTCGCTGCCGTCGCCACCGGAAACAGCATACCTAAGTCTCGCTTTTTGACTCCATCAAGGCGAGACAAAAATTCAGCAATTTTTCCATTTGTAAAGGGGCATAACTATAGAACAGTAAAAGTGACGCCACCAAAATTCAAACTTGATCTGTGTTTTGTAGTAATAAGCATTGTGTATAAGTTTCATAACATTTGGTTGAGGCAAACTAAAGTTAGAGAACGGAAACGAAAAATTCAGCAATTTTTCCATTGGTAAAGGGGCATAACTGTAGAACGGTAAAAGTGATGCCACCAAAATTCAAACTTGATCTGTGTTTTGTGGTAATAAGCATTGTGTATAAGTTTCATAACATTTGGTTGAGGCAAACTAAAGTTAGAGAAAGGAAACCAATTTTGGGACCTACGGACATATGTTCGTACAGACGGATGGACATACAGACGAACAAGGGTAAAACTTAATCACCCCTCTGCTACGGCGGGGGCATAATAAAAACGCAAAAAATTGGTAAAAATCATCATCAAAGGGCAATAACTCCAATAAGGAGTCAACTGAAGATTTCAACCATTTTGACTTATTTGTAGATCTTGTCTTGCTGACCATTTTTGCAGTTTAAAGTTTCTCTATGTCTATTAAAGTTTTCAAGATAAAAGGCAAAAATGAAAAAAGAATGGTAAAATTTGTCATTTCAGGGCAATTACTCCTATAAGAAGTCCCCGGACAGTTTTGACATAGATGGACAATTGGCAGAGTTCAAAATTTAAGCCCTTATCAGATTTTCTCTTTTTTAATTTTCAAAATAAAAGACAAAACTTGCATTTTACCCCTATGTTCTATTTTTAGCCATGTCAGCTATCTTGGTTGGCAGGCGGGGTCATCAGTAAAAAATTTAAACTAGATACCCCAAGCACAAGTGGCAATTTGGTTAATTTGGTACAGTAGTTTCAGAGGAGAAGATTTTTGTAAAAAGGTAACGGACGAAACAAAGACGATGATCAAGAGAAACGACAGACAACGAATGCCAAGTGATGAGAAAAGCTCACTTGGACTTTTGGTCCAAGTGAGCTAAAAAAAGGAAAATAGATAAAACACATTGTAGACTGATCATTTAGTATAAAATAACTATTACCTGCTTAATATATAAGGATCAAAAGGGAAGAAAGAATCCAAGATTTTTCCTGCAAAATCTAAGTTCCCATTGGTACAGGCAACAGGTAGTACTTGTCTGTTATTTCTTTCTATTATAGTATCACAGAAAGCTAGCTGGTGACTCCTGAAATCAGACAATTAAAAATTTAAGTTATCTGCTCATCTAAACATACTAATATTAATCATAATACTTGTCAATATTTTACACCTGAGTTTAAACTCATTGAAAATTAGAACTTTGAGAAACCCACAAAAGGATACCTTGCCCAACAATACTATTAGTCTATATATAAGTAAGGAAATTCTATTATGTTTAACATGTTGGACCAAGATTATTGTTCTATCTGCACATTCTTAGGTAGTGTTCCACAACTGTGTAAAGTTTCATCAAAATCTGTCTAGTAGGTATGAAGGAGTAGTGCTTACAAAGCAAATGGACAGACAGGCAGGGTGATTCCTATATAGGACCCCTTCCCCTAGAAATAGAATTATCTTTGTTTGCGGGTACATTTATTGATAAAAATAATGTCATCCATGTAAAAACTAGCAAAGAGCATGAAATGAAAGATTTCATCTTACATGAAATAACAAATATATTAAATACCCAGCACTTCCATCACTTTTGTTGCCAGATACTGGAAGGTCTGTAATGAGGAAGTGAAGACTTCTATATCATATCAATATAAATATTTAAGCAGTAGATTGCAGTGTTTGATAAACATCAATAAATAATACACATCTTCCAAAAGCATTTGCAGTTTTTATCTAAGACAACTTTAAACTGAATATGTAACTACTTCAAATCATTGGAACATGAAAAAAGAATTTGGCTATCTACAATCTCTTTCAAACTGAGATGAAATAAAGAATTTACATATCCCATCAAGATTGAGATGGCCATTTGTGTCAACTTCAACGATTAAGAAGTATGGTGTATTAAATCAGGACAAAATATCCCTTCAGGCACTTGACAAAACCAAGAACAAAAGGAGCCATCCTCTCATTGTTGTTCTTCATCTTAAAAGTCCCATTGACCTTCAACACAGAGCTAAACCTAACACATCATTGTGATGGTCCTCAGCACATGTTCCAGTAGAATGCTTTGCTAAATGCCAATAACACTACATCCATGCAGATACAGGGTAATATTTACAAATTACAGATTGTAAAAGACAAAGAAGTCCAACAAATTTGCCTAATAATCTCACTATAAAATACAGACACAATATAATCATTTATTCAACCACAGGAGACATCAAAATATATGTTAGAAAACCTGTCAGGAAATAATGCATAAAAAGTACAGATAATACAAGAGAATTCACATTTACCTTGCAACTGAAGCAAAGGTCTGTACTATCACAGGTAAGCAAAACTTTAATGGGTTAAGTCGACAGGTAACTATTCTCTGAAAGTTTAATTTTTCTGCCCATTTCAAACCTAGATAAAAGATAAACACAAATTAACACAAATTATTGCACAGTATTATAAACTTTCATTATGTTTATATTATTTTTAGTTTCTTAATTTTGAAATCACAAAAAAAAAGATTAAATAAACAGAGATATGTCTTGCCTATGGGCATACAATTCAGAAAAAAGACAATCTGATGGACAGCAACATTGCTTATTAATTCAGTTATTGGACCATGATCTAGTGAGCAGGGCCTGAAAATGGTCAACAAACTGAGATGTACAGACAGTAATGTAACTTTATACAAAATATCATTGATCTATCTCAAGTAGTCGTTAAAAGGCTTGTATAGTCCGCGGTTTTATTCTCCAAAATTGACCCTGACAGCAGGGGTGCGGACTATAGAGTACAATAAGCAAGAAATAAGAGAGAAAATTTCAATCTCGCGATGTGGTTTGCTTACGTTCCGCCATGTTTGTTATTGACGTTGTAGAGGGCGCTCTTATCATTTTTCAAAACCAATAATTTTACTCAATCCATATTAATAAGTTATTTTTTTTATTCAATATCAAATTAATACTGATAAATTTAAAAATTAAATGCTTCATTACAAAATTCTCGTTTCTTTTCAATGCATTGCTAAATATAAACTGGTATCTGCTTGAATGAATCGTACAAAAAAAGTTAAAAAAAGACAACCGTAAACCAGCTTACGATGTGTAAACTACAAAACGTAATCGGTTATTATTCGTTCCGTTTTGGTGTTTCCTATTGACAAATATGTTTTGTATTAGCTTAAGACCCTTCAAACATTAATGTGATAGATATATTAAACACTGTTACATAAGGAGGGAACTGTTTTACTTTCATAGTCGTATTATAGTGATATCTATTATGTACGGATTTCGACTCTCACCGGGTTTTTTCATCTTTTACACGTGCTTTTCAAACTTTCGGTTTTAACATACACAAGTTTCTAAATTGTTTTTTGTGTGATTTAGACTTATTTTAACCAGCGTGAAGTGTTTTAGAACCATTTACAAGCAGTTTCAGCTTCTGTTTGGCGATGGAAAATAGGTTTTTCCAAGAAAATACCGCAAACGACCACATACGATTTAAAATTACCGGAGTTTCATTAGACCTTTTCTAACAGTTACAAAAAGTTTTTTTACCTGAAATTTCGTGGGGAGAAGGCGGTGCGGACTATGTACCAGTGCGAACTATTCAAGCCCGATTACGGTAACTGACTTAAGCAGAAAAACTTAACATCGAAATTTGCTAATTAATGAGGTCAAGAATCGTATTGAGTTGAAAAAGTGTCTACTTAATTATGTAAGACTGATATCAACAAGTAATTTGGTCAATATGATTGACATTTAAATTGGCTGGACATTCAAGTTAAGGCTCCACCTTGTCTCTGATTGTTAGCAGAAATTAACAGTTGTCAATCATTCTGGTAGTGTATCAGTACTCTAACCTAATAAAATTGACAAAATTAGCCAGCAAACTGACCAAATAAAAGATAATAGATACTTGAATGAACTGGTCTAAAGATATAACCCAAATTTTCCAGTTCATATGTACATTTGTACACATACATGAGAATCATTGGAAAATATCTTTCAGTGTGTATAGATTTTGCACAAATGGTAGCTAATCTGTCTACTTTCTGTTTAGGAGGCCGGAGCCTTAGGAAAGAATTGGAACAAGTTCCAATCTTTCCCAAAAAATCTATTAATATTTTTCAAGAAATTTCCATTAACAAGATGTGCATGATTATTTTCTTATAATATAGTTTGTTCAACAATACCTACTGATATTTTACAGAAAAAATTATAAAAAAAATTGAAAAAAATTCTTATTGTTCCTACCTTTACGAGATTCAAATATATCTTTATTCCTAAATACAAATACATAAAGTATGGCCTGAACAACAGCATAAAATGGCCCATGATGAGTCACATCTGCAAACAGGGACTCATCTCCTGTCTGGTCTAAATACTTGTGTATCCAAGTACTCATCAATTCTAAACAGGTTTTTACTGTACTGAAAATATAAAGACAAACTAAAATACCTGTACATAACAAAAAAATAAACATCAAGCGTCCATATACAAGTGAAAGTCTACCAATATTATTTTTTATCAATTGACAAGATATATTTTTCCTGAAATCTTTCATAAAATTAAGACAAGCTGTTGGTTGTAATAGGACATGTAGGAATACTAATGTTGTTTATTTTTTCGTTTTTTTCCCATGGTGTTGTCTGTTTGTCTTAGACTTATGAGTTTGAGCATCCCTTTGGTTATTATTTTATCTGCCTCTTTTTTAATGACTACTATGTTTACCTCCGTATTCCAGGTTTCTTTACTGACATTGTAATTCTTAATAAAAACTAAATTATAATCCAGAAAATACAGTATACAACTAAAATAAACAAGATTATATCTACTTCACATCATTGTTCATTGCTGTAACCCAAGTACTAATTTCAAGGAAGGGGGAATAACTCATATCAAATTATAATTGCAGAGTTGAATTAATTTTAAAACAGGAAAAAAAGCCATTAAAGTCAAATTGGAATTTATTAACGTACATGTATATCTTGAAAACAAGACTAAATCAATGTAATACACATCTGCATTCTGTGATTCAATAAAACATAAATTCTACAGTATACAAAAGACAGTATTTGGTGTAACAAACAATACCTTATTGGAACAAATATTCCTCTAGAAAGAAGACTTCCTATATAACATACAGATATTTGTCTATATACAGGTTGGGCAATAGGATTCTGCACTTTCTTCCATAAATAATCTAAAAATCCATCACAAATAGGCTGAAATATAAATGATAAGCTAAATCATACACTGCTGCAAAACACAAACCAAAGACAGATATGTAAAATCTGTGTACATTTGCAAAGTACAATTGAGTTTCAGTAGTTCTGTCCATGTTATTTCTTCAAGAAAATAATTAAAAATGAACTTAAGATAAAGGTTTCAATGATATTTTTTGCATTTTTGAAGAATTTGGATGCATAATAAAACCTTACACCATCGCACATGTGTACTAGTTCAAGCAATGTGGTTCTGTCAATTTTTTACTACATTTTTTAATTGATCATCAATTGATATGATAATATGTATTTCTGATGGACTAAATCATTTTTTTTAAATTTATAAGATGCAAAACAGTGAAATTTGAAAAAATAACTTTAAATAGACCAATTTATGTCAGGTACAAAATAGTTTACCTGTCGAGTGAACAGGTAAATTTCAGCTTTCAGACAACTAATTAACATTGATTGTAATGAGGGGTATTAAAGTAGGGCATGTTGTATAGTACTTATTCATCATGTCACTTTTATGAATGGAAATGTTTGACTATTTAAGGCAAAAGGTCAGGTCAAAAAGATCGAATAACCATTTTTTTCTGAATTATATCAAAATGGCAAACACATGTTTGATGTCCTATTCAGGCTCTGCACAACTAGACGAGAATATAATTTCCCAGACTTCTCTAGACAATACGGCCGTTATGGAAGCCATGCCCCAACCCAAGATTATAATCAGTACATCAAATCAAAATTGACATCGAAATTGATTATTTCCCCTTTACCATTTTGGACTGGGATTACATTTCCTTTATGACAGAGACAGACAGAAATGGTGATTTATATACACAAAGCTTTGTTTGCCAGGGGTATAAAATATTCACTTTCAATGTTTAACAAGCAAGTGCTCTTTCAATGCTTAACTATAACATATTTTGAAGGTACCTGGCACATTTGAAAAGGATTATTTCAACTGTCAGATCCCTTGTAACTTTTAGTAACCAATTTAAAAAAAAGAAATAGAAACAAAAGAAACCAATATCAGTAATCATTGCACTAAAATATTTTACTTTACATTTAATTTTAGTCTTAATCAGAAAAAAAAACAGAAAGGAAATCAACTTATAAATTTACCTGCTTTAAACTACAAATATAAAACATAATAAACTGCACATGACAGGAGGCATGGGTAGGTAAAATTGATGTCTCAAAAATCAGTAACAATTCTCTGTATAATAACTTGGTAGCTTCCCAATTCAACTCTCCTGCAAGAAAAAAACAAATACATTATCTTTAAAGTTTTCATTAAAATGTTTGGTAACATGCAACGAACATTTGCAACTTTCAAAAATGAAAACTCTTCAATAAAAAGAGCAGGAAACTTAAAAAAAAATGTAAATAAAATGCTTCGCTGGGCGCAGCTTGATACGACCGCAGAGGTCGAACCCTGGACAGTTGGGACAAGTATGGACACAACATTCAAGCTTGATACAGCTCTGAATTTGGATTGTGATTAAATATTTGACACAGCATAGGTTTCTGACACAGAAAGAATGTGGTCTAAGAACTTGAAGTTTTTTAATTTACCTATTATGGTCCAATGTCCAAAATCAAATTACATGGTTAGATTCAGCATATCAAAGAACCCCATATATTCAATTTTTGTTGAAATCAAACAAAGTTGAATTTTGGACCCCAACTTGGACAAACTTGAAAACTGGGCCCATAATCAAAAATCTAAACACATGTTTAGATTCAGCATATCAAAGAACCCCAAGAATTCAATTTTTGTTAAAATCAAACTAAGTTTAATTTTGGACCCTTTGGACTTTAATGTAGACCAATTTAAAAACTGGACCATAAATTAAAAATCTAAAAACACGGTTAGATTTGGCATATAAAAGAACCCCAATAATTCAATTTTTGATGAAATCAAACAAAGTTTAATTTTGGACCCTTTTGACCTCAATATGAACCAATTTGATAGCGGGCCCACAAATAAAAAATCTAAATACATGGTTAGATTCAGCATATCAAAGAACCCCATATATTCAATTTTTGTTGAAATCAAACAAAGTTTAATTTTGGACCCCAATTTGGACCAACTTGAAAACTGGGCCAAAAATCTAAAATCTAAATACATGTATAGATTCAGCATATCAAAGAACCCCATATATTCAATTTTTGTTGAAATCAAACAAAGTTTAATTTTGGACCCCAACTTGGACAAACTTGAAAACTGGGCCCATAATCAAAAATCTAAACACATGTTTAGATTCAGCATATCAAAGAACCCCAAAAATTCAATTTTTGTTAAAATCAAACTAAGTTTAATTTTGGACCCTTTGGACCTTAATGTAGACCAATTTAAAAAACAGGACCCAAAATTAAAAATCTAAATACACCGTTAGATTTGGCATATCAAAGAACCCCAATAATTCAATTTTTGATGAAATCAAACGAAGTTTAATTTTGGACCCTTTTGACCTCAATATGAACCAATTTGATAGCGGGGTCCACAAATAAAAAATCTAAATACATGGTTAGATTCAGCATATCAAAGAACCCCATATATTCAATTTTTGTTGAAATCAAACAAGTTTAATTTTGGACCCTTTGGACCTTAATGTAGACCAATTTGAAAACTGGACCCAAAATTAAAAATCTAAATACACGGTTAGATTCGGCATAACAAATAAAAAAATGTGGTCAAAGATTTTACAAATCTAATGCGCCATACTGAGCAATTAAAGATTACTCCTTGAAATTTTTCAATGTTTGAAATTTGAAAAAAAAATAATATTCGAAGAATAATTCTTTTTAATTTCTGAAATCTGAAATGAGAAAAAATTGACCCCCCACAATTTCTTTTTACCCCCCCCCCCCCTTTTTTTCCCCCAAAAAATTCTTTCCCTCAAGATATGATCATAATCTCAATTCAAATTTCCAATGGAGTATGCAACCATAATTACCCATTTAAATTTACCAAAGTGCTAACTTAATCTATTTTGTAATAGAATTTAAAATATAGTGTCAAATCTTTCATATGGATTTTTTTGTAAAAAAAAAAGATGCAACATTTGCAGATATTTTTACTGGTCTTCCTTTATAAATATGCATTTCTTTAAACATAATTTAAAAGCAGTGTAAGGGAAGTAACCAAAACGTTGTATTTGGATTACCTCCCTTGCACTGTTTTAAATTATCTTAATTATTCATTAACCATTACTTTATACATAATTTAAAAGCAGTGTAAGGGAGATAATTTCAATGATGTATTTGATTTATCTCCCTTACACTGCTTTAAATTATGTTTTGTACTAAAGTATTTGTCCATTAACCAGGACAACCTTGTTTTTCCCCCTTTTTTGCCCCTAATTCCTAAACGGGTTGAGCCCCAAAGCAAATCCTAACCATCCCTTTGTGGTATGGAAACTTGTAGTATAATTTCAGAGAGATCCATACACCGTTCCACAGTTATTGTCTGGAAACTAAAAAATGCTTATTTTTGGCCCCTTTTTGGCCCCTAATTCCTTAACTGTTGGTACCATAACCACCAAAATCAATCCCCACCTTCCTTTTGTGGTATTGAACCTTATGGTAAAATTTCAAAGAGATCCATTCACTTAAACTAAAGTTAGAGTGCGAAAACCAATGTGTCTTCGGACGACGACGACGACGACGACGACGCCAACGTCATACCAATATACCAATATACCAGTATAAAAAGTAAATGTATGCATTTAGTCAGATATAAGACAAAAGTAGAGAACATAGATTCAATCATGTCCTGTTGATATGTAAACACTTTAACATTTGCTGAAAAGGTCTGCAATGATTGAAAACTTGGTTCAATAAGCCATAATTTTTCATTATTATAAACAATTAAAGCCAACGAATCTTATGTTTTATGTTAGTGTTTGATGGTTTTTTTTTCTTCCTGTATAGAGTTTTTATTTCCATTTGATTTATAAATATTAAAGAAGAGTTCAGTCATCAATCTTTGTTGTATTTACATTTTAGTTAGCAACAAAAATTCCAAGCTAACAAGTAAGCAGTTCAGATAGATATATATTTTTTTCCATATCTAATTTGTATATAACATATCTTAGGGTATTTTTGCTAAAAGAACATAGGGAACAAGTTTTACCAAAAACTATTTTTTGTAAGAGAGTACATTTAACACAAAATCGAATTAGAAAACGGAAAGTGAGTAATTCAATAGCAGTACATTTATGAGGATTTTGATAATATAAATGATTTTCTGTTACAAGAAAGTTCACATACACTTGTTTTAAAGTAAAACTTAGCCATTCAAGTATATAAAACATGTTCAACTTTTTTTTAAATTTGAAGTTTCATATGACTTTAAAAGCAAAACATGATACATAAATGCATTTATACCTTCAGAGTAACACGAATTCTGTATGTATCTGAATGTGACCTCCATTAGAATGTCTAGTTTATGTCCCTCTTTGTGAGTCATTGGTACTGTTTCTACTATTGACAGCATGTCTACTGATGATACTATTTCTTTCTGTACTGAGACGTCATCCTATATTAAAACAAACCACATTTCATTTAGTGTATTCAAGTTTTTTCATTTAGGTATGAAAAATGGATAATATCCTTTCACTTATAAGTTATAACTAATATAACTTTAATTTATACTCCATTCTAAAATTATTCCAACATAAATCTATAACTGTGACAATTCTTATTACTTGAATAGAGGCATGATAGCATGAACTACTCTCAAGAATAAAAGAATAGTTTATAAAACTACACAAGGGTAAAAAAAAGTTCTTTCCATGCAATTCATGTGGTCATGTCATATGGGTGTGACCATTTTCCATGGCATCACAATGAAAATAACAAAGAATGTTTATGACATAAGAAATAATAGTTGAACAGCAATCAGAATCCAAAGCAGATAAACATAATAATGGTTTATAAAACTGGTTGCAATGAAACACCCTAATTTCCCAGTCATATGTAAAATAAATTTTGCATTTTCACTTCTCTGACCTCACACATCAATAGATGTTGTCAAGACATAATTGACAAAGTTGCATCAAAATGAACAGGAATAATTAATCCAAGATTTCAATTACAAAACAACACTGTCAACACATGCCCTACATGTACATTCATTCATAAATTAATGTGTTATTTTACCATTTCAAATATGATATCTTCCATGTCTTCATCCTCCTCTCTCTGTAATTCTTCTATTTCTTCTCTAGGAGATCTGACCTGTAGACAAATGTAATACTCAAATTTCCAAATGCTACCACTTTCATTTTTTTTCTTTTCAAAGCAGGTAAGAATTAAGAAAGCAAAATGTTTTCTGGGCAATGACCCACTTCCATTTCTCTATATTTTGCTATAAAAGTTTCATAAGTTTAAAATCACTATTTTAAAGTAAATCATAATTTTCTTGTAATAATGAAAAAATCATGTCAATCACATAGACCATGAAGTGTCAAATCTAGCCTATAATAACAGTTCAATAGGTAAACTGAGTTTGACTTGTTGAAAAGGAAAATAATTTTATTCAAACAAGAAGTTACACTTACATCAAATTTAAGTAATCTTTCAATGACAATTTCCAGAATTTTTTGCCTCATATTTGGTAAATAATGTGTAATCTGTAAGAGATTTTTGACATAACATTCCTGTATATAAACATCCTTATTGAAGAATGGAAACATCTCACCCAGTAATGGTATCAATACTTTTGGAGTCCTGAAAAATAAAGAAAAATTTACAAAGGGAGTGGAAAGAAATATCTGCTAAAGTTCACAAAAAATGATGATTTCTTGAAAGAGGATGTAGATTTTTTTCTCTTTAATGTTGTAAGAATGTTTTCATCTACCTAGAATATATAGGCTTAGCCATACACTTTTTTATTCACTATTATTGTTTGTAAGTTTTTAAGGTTGAAGAGATCATAAATTTCTCTATTACCATAGTATTGATGACCCATTAAAAATATTAGTGTATACTTGACAAATGCATCTAAATAAAATCAGAAACTGTTCAGAAAAAGGGTATAATATCACCTGCTTCTGAAAACATCTCAATGTACCAGAATAACAATTGCATATCTGTATATATAGATCTAATATTGTACCCAGTTTGATGCATATAGAATAAAACATTAAGGGGAAGTTTTAATGAAATAGAAAGTACTCAATAGGACAATTTTTTTTTTAAGTTCAAAGATGCATAACTTTGGATAAATAAATACCAATGGAACAAAGCAAAAAAAAATACCAAAGGAACAAAATATCTTACTTGTATCTAAAAAAAACCTTGTTTTACCCTGCCATATATATTCATGTATCTGCCCAAAGTTAGGTTCCTCCTTAGTGGCTGTATTTAGTCATGTCATGTCTTTTCTTTTTTCTATTTTTTTTTTTGTCTTTGAGGGAATTTGGTGTTTATGGCATATCTCTAATAGTCAGATCTAAACAAACCTTGCTATTCCGAAATTAAAGAATAATAGTACCTTTTCATCCTATTTATCATGTATATTAGTATAAAATGTTATCCAAACTATTTGTTGTCTGGGATGTCTGGTTTTGTTTGGTAAGTAAAAACACTGTAGGTTTATCCACAGGGCTTTATAGCACCAATCTGATTAAAATACAGATCCTATGGCCATGATTCGCTTACAAGGATCTGAAAATGCTCCATTCTAACTTCGGGATCGTCAGGTTTTGTTATAATGATACACACCTTCAAAAATTTGGAGGCTAAATTTCATTGGTTGATATAAATTTTATCAGAACAGAAAGTAGGACAGAGTGTTGTCAGATCCTTATAAGGGAAGCATGGACACAGGATATGTATTTTAATCAGTTTATTAAAGCACCATGCTACCATGGTGCTATCTGGATACATTTGATAACAAAAGTTAATATAAATTTGAAAATGCTGGGGAGAACACTGCCCTATATATCACCACCAAACAGACCCTTTCAAGTGAATAGAATTTTAGTAAATGCAGAAAAAGGTGTTTTAAACAGCAAACACAGACAAACATATTTAAAAGTAACAATACTCACATAGGTACTATCTGTGTAATGGCTTTAAGAACCAGATGAACATTTACAAACATTAAATCATGTTTCTGTCTCAGTGAATCATCAACTGTTACCATGACTTTTTTATCACCACCATCTCCTGTGTTAGTAACTAGTGCTGAAAAAAAATTAGTACATTAAACTGTTAAATAAAATAATAACAACAAAATTTAAAAACACACAAAAACATCTAGAACTGTAAATGAAATCACAAAAGGCTATCCCCTGGCGCTACTATTAATAAATTAAGGTTTTTAAAGTTCTTTTGCTCATCTCCCCTTAAATACTTTGGATCAGGATTATATTCCTTAGTGAACATCCTCATGTAATGTTCTACAACCATGACAACTATGTTAAGTTTTATCAATATCTGACATTATACATTTGTAGATATGAAGATTTATTCAAACATTAATTCTATTCATATAATGGTAAAGTTCTGCAAGTGCCCATTTTGGAATTTAAAAGAACTTTGTTAACAGGAAAGCTGTTGGTCAAAGTTGCCTTATATATTAATATATTTGTCTAGAAAAAAAATGCATGTTTCTAGCCTTCAGAATTTGCAGGTCAGTGACTCTCATCCATACGACAGCAATTATATTCTTTGGCTGCATGTCTTAATCTTTTCATTGTCTTGCTAATCCTTGACTAAAATGATTCAGTAAAGATACATCAAATAATGTACATGTGCATATACTTACTAAGATGTGACATAAAATGTTTGACAAGCATCCTAACTCCAGCTCTAAGGTAGTATGTGTGAGCTGATACATATACTTACTAAGATGAGACATAAAATGTTTGACAAGCATCCTAACTCCAGCTCTAAGGTAGTATGTGTGAGCTGATGCATATTCTTACTAAGATGTGACATAAAATGTTTGACAAGCATCCTAACTCCAGCTCTAAGGTAGTATGTGTGAGCTGATACATATACTTACTAAGATGAGACATAAAATGTTTGACAAGCATCCTAACTCCAGCTCTAAGGTAGTATGTGTGAGCTGATACATATACTTACTAAGATGTGACATAAAATGTTTGACAAGCATCCTAACTCCAGCTCTCAGGTAGTATGTGTGAGCTGATGCATATACTTACTCAGATGTGACATAAAATGTTTGACAAGCATCCTAACTCCAGCTCTAAGGTAGTATGTGTGAGCTGATGCATATACTTACTAAGATGTGACATAAAATGTTTGACAAGCATCCTAACTCCAGCTCTAAGGTAGTATGTGTGAGCTGATGCATATACTTACTCAGATGTGACATAAAATGTTTGACAAGCATCCTAACTCCAGCTCTTAGGTAGTATGTGTGAGCTGATACATATACTTACTAAGATGTGACATAAAATGTTTGACAAGCATCCTAACTCCAGCTCTAAGGTAGTATGTGTGAGCTGATGCATATACTTACTCAGATGTGACATAAAATGTTTGACAAGCATCCTAACTCCAGCTCTAAGGTAGTATGTGTGAGCTGATGCATATACTTACTAAGATGTGACATAAAATGTTTGACAAGCATCCTAACTCCAGCTCTAAGGTAGTATGTGTGAGCTGATGCATATACTTACTCAGATGTGACATAAAATGTTTGACAAGCATCCTAACTCCAGCTCTAAGGTAGTATGTGTGAGCTGATACATATACTTACTAAGATGTGACATAAAATGTTTGACAAGCATCCTAACTCCAGCTCTAAGGTAGTATGTGTGAGCTGATACATATACTTACTAAGATGTGACATAAAATGTTTGACAAGCATCCTAACTCCAGCTCTAAGGTAGTATGTGTGAGCTGATACATATACTTACTAAGATGTGACATAAAATGTTTGACAAGCATCCTAACTCCAGCTCTAAGGTAGTATGTGTGAGCTGATACTAAATTCAGTAAAAAAGCTTGATATTCTTTTATGAGGCATGATTCTCTAGTTGCCCAATTCAGTTTCTGAAATTAAAAAAATTCTGATTTTTTTTCAACTCAAGAATTATATAATCTAGACCTAAAATGTTCAAAAGAGTCTGTTTACCTCACCTAGATTTATGTATATGATGCAATGTGTGTTATTTATTTCATATTCTGCACCAAAATCATATAACATTTCAAAATATAAAATAAGGAGATGTGGTATGATTACCAATGAGACAATTATCCGCCAGAGACCAAATGACGTAGATGTTAGTAACTATAAATTATGCAATTTCAAATATAAAATGTGTCTTGAAAAAAAAATTTAACACTAGAAATGTTTCCCTCTTTTGGTTAGAAGTACTCCTTTGGGGAAATACTATAAGCTTATTCTAAAAGGTTACCAATTCAACACTATAATTAGATCTTTGAATATTGTTTTTATTGGTATTAATATTGATTTTGTTATCAGGCATTTCAGGAAATTAAAATCAAACTAAATATTATTTTTATATACATATGCACTTTCATGGCTCTAAAATCTGTCGATACCTGTATCTTGGCATTGTGCAAGGTCCTGTTTTTCTCTGACTGATAATGACTTCTTTACACTAAATCCATTAGATGTTGGATGTGTAATGATTGATATTTTAGTCTTAGATGCACGATTTTTTTTTATTAGTTGTTATTGGCTTTGAACTAGCTGTCAGTAACTGTAAGTGCTCTCAAATCTGTACTTAAGTGTCTTTTTGTTGTGGAGATGTATAAGTACCCTGCCACGTCCACTCTGTCATGTCTGTGTTTTTGTAAGATGTATTTCTTTGTATCGATCTGATGAGTTAAGCCCTATTCAACTGATTTTTATTGTTTGTTCTTACTGTTACACCACTGTCCCAGCTTAGGGGGAGGGTTGGCGAGCCTTCAAACTAGCTTAACCCCGCCACATTCTGTATGTGCCTGTCCCAAGTCAGGAGCCTGTAATTTAGTGGTTGTCTTTTGTTGCTGTATATCATATTTGTTTTTCATTCATTATTTTGTACATAAATCAGGCCGTTAGTTTTCTTGTTTGAATTGTTTTACATTTGTCATTTCAGAGCCTTTTATAGCTGACTATGCGGTATGTGTTTTACTCATTGTTGAAGGCCGTACGGTGACCTATAGTTGTTTATTTCTGTGTCATTTGGTCTCTTGTGGAGAGTTGTCTAATTGGCAATCATACCACATCTTGTTATTTTTATATTCCCCATTTGGCATGGTGTCCCCAGCCTGTTAAATGGCACAGTGTTTCAAGACATTCACTTCAAGTTTTGAGACATTCAAATAACAGTGTCATATATAAATTGCTTAAATTAATATATTAGTATATAAACTATTATTATTGTTTGTAAATTTTCATCTATTTATTATGTAGTTATGTAGTAAATGTACAGCATTTTTTCTTTCATATATCTCTAAGCAAATGATACTGAACTGCTGAATACAAATAAAAAAGATGGAAGCATGAATTGTACTCATAGAAAAGGTTAAATCATAGTGCTTTATTCATAAGCAGTCAACAATCAACAATAAAAAACAAAACCAAAAACACATTCTTCTCAATTATTCTTTAGGCTTATATCATTTAAAAAGACAGGATTCAAGGGGGGAAAAACACTTTGATATGACATTCAGATGGAATATTGAAGAAAAAACACACAAAGAAGGAAATTTTTGCCTCAGATGGTTACATTTATGACCAAAAAATATGTTGATAAAAAACTTCTTGATTTCCGAGGTCTAAATTCCTGACCAAAATTTCCCAATCTCCTGATGTGACTTTCAGTCTATCACACTTATGTATGATTGAATATCTCTTTAAATAAAGAATTGTTTTTATCATTTTTATAATTTTGCTCCTCCCACTGAAAAGGTATTATTGGTTTCATGGTACAGCCAGCAAGCAAAGTAACTTTAGCTCCAGTCTTTTTCTACACACTCAATCTATGTGCTGTGGTTTTTTTTTCGAATTGTAGTTATAACTAATTTGGGTAACACTTTAAAAAAGAATAAGATCATTCAGTTTTTATGTTTGTAGAAAAAGTGTAAATTATTTCTTTTTAAGTTAACAGAATGACTGAAGCTGCTAATTCCGCTAACCAAACTGTAATTGTTTAATCAAATCAGTGCAGATTCTATCAAAGAATTGGACATTAATTTTAAAGTTACTATGCAAAATTTGACTAATGATCTAAATGCCATTTTTAGAAAAGAAATCATATATATTATGACTTTCCTGAAAGAGAGTGCCCACAGAACATATGCATGAACTTACCAACATAATTCCTACTAATATTTCATAATCTCTGTCAAGATGGGTCACACATTTTCTAATGCTCCTAATGTAAGTCTGAAGCTCTGATGTCTGAAATAAAATGTTATCAAAATCAATGATGGAAATAAGGAAATATATCTCAATATTTTACTTGAAGTGCACAACAACTAGGCAAATTATAATGGTAATTGAAGATTTCAAATAAGGTGACCTGTTAAGTCAGTTAGTAACAGCCCTCTGAAATAAATGAATGAATGAATGAATGAATGATGAGTTTATTTGCGAAATGCATATACATGCTATAGCAATCAAAAACATTTATTACAAATCTGACACAATGATAAACAGCAGAAAACAACACACATCGTGACATGATACAATGTTAAGTAATAATATGACATCTCATTTTCCATGCTGCCTTTAGATAATTACATAGTTTATAGTCAGAGTTTTATTTGCAGCTTTTAACAATTGATCTTGTTTATAGATATTTGGCCAAGAACAGTAGTATTTTGGTAAATAATGTGACCTTACAGGTCTGTAAACAGGACAAACTGAAAGCAATCTGATCCTGTGTCCAAGCTTTGCTTGCAAGGATCTGACAACACTCCGTTCTACTTTCTGTCCTGGTAATTATTACATCAGCCAAATGAATTTCTGCATACAAATTTTATTATGAGTTTATCTTTACAATAAAACCAGATGATCCCGAAAAGTATTTCAAACAGAAAGTAGTATGGAGCAGGGTTAGATCCTTGTAAGCGTAGCGTCGACAAAGGATCTACATTTCAATCAAATTGAAGTAAAAGATATCTCATTTGAGGACTCTAAAAATCAGATTTCTTGAAAGGCGGATGAAGATACTTGTGTTTCCAGGGAATTCTTAAAATAATAAAGATCAAATAATCAGAATTAGAGAAAGGCAGATGAAGATACGTTTTGTACTTGTGTTTCCAGTGGCTTCTTACAATAATAAAGATCAATCAAATAATTTGTGAAATTCAGATGAAGATACTTGTAATTTGTACATGTATTAGTTGTAAGCTTACCTCTATATCAGGGTCACTTAACCTGCTTGTCAACCAATCATAATCTTTATAGTAACCCTACACAATAAACAGAAATTAGTACAAATTAACATGATTAATATTCTTAAATTAAATCATCTATACAGAGCTAAAAAAGTTTATAGTTACATCGCCCTTCATAGATCATGTTGGTAAGATCATTTTGATTATGATGCACAAAATCATTAAATGTATATTTACACATATAATAAATTACATTTTTCACTTAAAATGAATAATCATTTTCACCATGTATTTATATATATATATATACCAGTAGAAAAAAAGATGAAAATTACTTTGACGCGTCTTGTAAATGTCAAAATAATATTGCATTGTCAAATTTTGCTTGTAATGTCCTTCCCATTGACATGATTGACATGGAATAAAGGCTTTAAATGTTTTTCTTTAAAATCATTTAAGAAAACTGTGTCAGACATAACAAATTTTTACTACGGTTCAAATACTCTGAAATTAGTCAGATAAACCATGAAAAAAATAATCAAATACTAGTAGCTGGTTTTGAATATTTCATGATGTTACATCTTGAAATTCTTTCATTTTATATCACTCTTTAAACAGAATGTATACACAAATTGTGAAAACTTGCTTTCTTCAGTTATAAATACAATCAAGAAAGCTGAAAGTTGACCCAATCTTTACCAGCTTTTATTGAGTTCATCAAAGACCATTCATTTGATATCTTTATTGGTTGTCATGTGATGGTTCCTACATAAGTGTTGCTCATTATACAAATAAATTCACCTTTCTTTTTATTTGAACTTACCTGTTTTTGTTTCTCAAGTATAGATTCAAAGTCCATTTTTGAAGATTTACTGCTTGTTGCCATGGCCATATTTTACAATTACTCAATAACTGATGAATTATCTCACATGAATAACTATAGTTGTGAGACCCAAACCTATATAGAAAGAAATGGTGACTGTGTACTTAGAAATTCCAGGATTATATAATAAGTAAAGTTTAGGCAATTCAGAATTGAAAAAGGAACAAAGCTTGACTACTTTTCTAGACTCAGGATAATTTAGTTTGACACTTAGACATCTGTCTGTTGTTGATGACCATATGTTAAACTCTAGATATCTTTTGATAGTTTTTTGTTGCTGGGTTGCTGTCTGATTCACATATACCCACATTGTCTTTTATTTAAAGGTTTAAAATAAGCTTTACTATGTCATTGTGTATGTCTATAGCTTTACTGTAAATCTTAGTCACTTACCATTTTTAAGTTTATTGGCCCAAATCTTTAAGGGCTAGCTAAAATTAAAATCTACTGGCCCTTTAAACTTGAAAAAAAAATTTCATCTATTACATGTATTACTTGTTATTAACAGTTCATGTTTTTTAATCATATTTACATTTGTATATTATACACAACTCAAACAGTCAGTGATAACACTAATAAAAGAAGTTTTTTTAATTTAATGGTAAAAAGTAAAGTATTTTTGAGGTAGAGTTATGAATCTTAGATTTAAAACTTTAATTATCGGCTAGGGGGTTTTTGATACCTGATTTCTGGAAATATTTTGCACCAGATCCAAAAAGCACACAAAAAGTTAAGAATTTGTACATATGCAAAAATTTGAATACATCAATAAAGACAAAATGAAAGATCTCATGGCAAAATTGGGTCTCAAATTTTAGCCAAAAAATGTCTCTCAAAAGTCCAGATGAAAAAAATAGTTTCCGAGTTATGACATGGTAGGGAAGCGTCACAGCAAAATAATCACCTTATCACTATTAGTCCGCCATTACTGGCCATGGATATCACAGAAGTTCCTGTAAAATTTTTACGTCACAAGAGAAAATGTCTGACGCCACAAAGGAAAAGAGATTGTTGTCTGTCGTCAATTGCACAAGTGTCACAAATTCTCAGGTCACAGATTTCAAAATAGCAATAAGGTCTATCAAAACAGCCTTTCAACTGTCAAGAGTCATAACTTTGTGGGCTAGTTAAAATATGCACAAACCTACTTTAAATAAAGTTTATAATGTTTTGTACATTGTGGTATTCGTTCTTGTTTGTCTTTAATTGTACATTATCTAAATTTAAAACGATCCTTTTGAACTTAGGGGACGACCATTTGATATTTGGGGGGGGGGGGGGGGGGCCAGGAGGATTTTGAAAATAAATAACTCCGCCTTGATAATCACAAAAATAAATGGTTTGTTCTGTGGTAGTTCGAAAATAAATAACCTGACTTACAATGTATTGAAAATGAATAACTCGGCAGGTCTTTAAGCCTTTTTATAAATGCTATTTGAAAGTATGAGGTGGCACCAGATTCTTCATAAAATTCGTCTTTTTTTTCAAAAAAAAATTCGGGAAACACTTCCCAAATCTTTTAATAATAAAGGTATAAATATTATTTAAATATACTTGAAATGTCTAAAAATGGGTTTCATTTAACTTGAGGTATATTGGCTCAGGAACACTTACCTCACTTTTATTACAAGGCTGTTACTACATTGAGGCAAATGCCTTAATGTAGGAAATTTTAAAACCAAAAGCTTGTCTTCATATCAAATTGTTTTCACAGCGAGTGTTTGCAAGAAGCAAGTTCTGTTTTCCCTTGGACGTAGCACCTGTTTTTTCGGGATCAATGTTTCGTTAAATTTGTCTTTTGTTTATTGATTGCCCTTCTGTATTCTCTTAGTGTTGCATTCCTTTTGTGATTTAGTAATTTTGTTTTCAACTTGATCATGAGTTTTATTTTATTTAAGACTTTTTAGCTAATTTTACAACTTAACTACTTTAAATTGTATCCCAGTTAAGAGCTACATCAAGTTGTAATTGAAATGTGTTATTAAAAATTACTTGACATAGTTATATCACTGATAATCAGCCCCCTCTTAACTTAATTTGAATAACCCTATATAATTTACAGGTATAACAGATTTAAATTCTGCATGCCGAAACAACAACAAAAAAAAAAAAAAACCAGCAGCCACATACTTAACTATGTGAATTACATTTTTACTTATTCTTCATATTGGTCTTTTGATGTTGTCCATAAAAACTTAAGTCTTACGCTGAATCTATACATTTTGCTTTGAGACCAACATATTGTCAAAAAATTATTAAAACAGAACTTGTGTTTTCAGAATAAGAAAGGGTCTGGGAATGCCCAGAAAGCATGATTTTGCATCATTTGTTCTATAGTATCTTTGGGCCTTCAGCGGCTTCAAAACCCTACAAAATTTTAGACAATATAGTAAATATAGTTGGCAATACTTTTAAAAGAGACTAGTCACAGCCCAACTCTAATACCGTGTATGTATGCAATACATGTATATGCAGTTAAATTTGGAATTCAGAAGATTCATTTCCGCAGAGGATAATGATTAATTCTGATTAAATGGTACATTAATGACTTGACTGTACATGTATTATTTATAATAAAAAATGAATTGTATGTTTTTAAATATTCTTAATATAGTTATGAAAATAAATAATCAGTCCCTTGTTTTAATGAAAATGAAAAATCTTGCTTCAACAGTGCAGAAAATAGATAATCTGTCCTCTTTAGTTTACAAAAATAAATAACCGATCCAAAACAAATCCTCCTGGCCCGCCCCCCCCCCCCCCCCCCCCCCCCCCCCCCCCCCCCCCCCCCCCCCAGAATATCAAATGGTCGTCCCCTTACCTGCTTTCTGTTAATCATTTTTAAGTTATAAAATACACTTATAATATAGTATTATTTAATAATCAATGTTTAAAATTCACCAATATGTGCTAATATTAAAATTTCAAGTGTTATTCGGTCATTACAAGTGTTATTTGGATAATAACGGTGTTATTCGGTCATTCGTGTTACCCTTTCGCAAGTCCATCATTACTGACATAATAATTTAGGTAATCAGTATGGTCTATCGAATTATTTGGTATTTTTCTGTTATATTTATACCTAATTCTTAGGAAATAGAATGTATATCGTTAAGAAAGCATAACACTATACCTTCTAAAAGGACGAGTGTTTGAATTTACGTAATTTATCTGAAATTACCTACACACTTTTTATGATCGTGCTGTTGAAACAACTATGATCTTCTGCATTGGAGACGAGTTTACCCCTTGAATTCAAGATGGCTGCGCCCATGGCCACACACGTTCGAATAAAAGTGTATTTTGAAAACAACGAGTTTGATGCTTCGTGGTTATTGATCGATACAGGTGATCTCCGGACAATGAAAGATGTACAGCGACATATTTCCTTGAAATTTCTAGGAAAGGCTGTCCCTCTGTATTTATCTTTGCAAGGATGTTTACTTCCAGATTGGGAGAAGTCAGTTATTTTAAGAGACAATGATTGTGTTAATGCAAGGTGTATCCATCAAGATAGGTAAATTTTAAGTAGAAAAGTATGTGAATATTATTTTTAATATATAGCAGACATTACTAATTACATGACTTAGAATTGATTGCAATCCAATTACTTGGTCATGAAATTATATGAGGCATGAATTACCTGTCATCCTGTTGCTGCGCCTTCGGAACAGTAGCTCTTGAATATAATAATGGTACTGCTTTCATGTCCATCCAGCCCGAGTCGATCCATCCCTAGTCGTTCCGGCCCAAGTCCATTCAGCCCTCATATAAAGTTGATGCGTTCCCGATTTAAAAAATATTCACAAAAGATAACAATTATATACATGATATATACATGTATATGTACAGACCTGCCAAACCACCATGATTTATGGGGAAAATCCCCATGAGAAGTCTTGACCTAGATTTTGAAATGAGTTGAAGGGTATTTAAGCACATCATAAATATACTCATTCAAACAATGAGGGTGGGCGAGAGGGGGTCTCATCCCGATTTCCCGGTTTTAATATCAGAAAATCCCGAAATCCCGGACATATTTTGTTAATAATCCTGATCCCGATAAATTTGTTCCCCAATTTTAAAGTTTAAAGTTTCAATGCTTACGATTTAAACGTCTCGGGTATGATCGATGTTCAAAGTCTTTCAGCGTAACCAATCCGAATATGTATTATCAATATTACCGTAACGTCAAGCTGCATATAAGCATTTTTGTTCTCATAAATCTTCAGAAGTCAGTCAGAAAATTGGCCAAATTCTAGTTCAAGTCAATACAAGAACCTATATGACAGGCACTGGAATCGTTTTGTAACGGAGAGAAATTTGAATCTATTGAGTCACCATTCGAAAAACCACTGAACCAAGGATCAACCAAGTTACAGACATAAACAGAACTACAAATGTCACTTGAGAGATTTATAAAGTAGTCGAAACGCTGCTTTACATTATAAAATTTTTAAAAAATACCAGATTTTAAGACACTTGTTAGGATAAATGATTATGCTTAGGGCTGTATGCAACTACACAACTGATCACCGACAAGAAGCTGATCGACTGACCTTGGGAAAATCAATAATGATGAATAATGGGTCAATTTTCTAGTAGTGATTGACAGGTATGAATTAATGTTGAGGCTCTTGTGGGGACACAATTTAGAAAAGTAGAAAGTTAAGCTTATTTTATGTAGAAAACATGTTTTAAAAATAAAAATAATCAAGATAGTCCGTGACTTTAACAATTTTGTGAAATTTCTTTTTTTTTGGTCTATTAGAGATTTCAAAATGTACAGTGTTAGTGCTATCAATAATCAGCCAGTCTTGATGATATTCGTAAAGTCCTCCCAGATCGAGAAACGGTCCGACTGGTGATAGTCTAAAGATCTCGGGATGTGTAATTACTACGAGAAGACGTATTCTGTGTTTGCAAGTCTACACCACTTTGCTCATCATCGTTATCACTCTCATCGTCGCTTTCTGAGGAGAATTGGTCCGAAATATTCGCATCATCGTCTTTGAAAGTGATTGTTGTGCCCGAAGATGTTTTACTACGAGTAAACGTATTCTGTGTTTGCAAGTCTTCACCACTTTGTTCATCATCTTTATCACTATCATCGTCGCTTTCTGAGGAGTATTGATCTGAAATATTCGTATCATCGTCTTTGAAAGAGATTGGAGTGCCCGGAGTTGTTTTATTAGATTCATACATATTTAAGGGAAGCGTGCCACACTTGAATGCCGTGGTTTTAAGTCGAACAGTTCTTTGTCTAACACATTTTCCATGTGTGTTTGCCCATGTGTGTAAGAGACTTAGCTCATTTTTTGAAGCAAAACGGTATAATTGAGGACCTGATCCGAGCTCAAAGCTTATCTCTAAACTTACTGTTACATGTACTCTGATCTGGATCTACTCTGTTTCTAGATGCGATTCTGATTGAAGTATAATGAAAATGGCACTTTTATCTGTCCAAGGTACAGTTTTTTGTCAATCCCGTTATATTTCAACATAAGAATCCCGATTTCCCGTGGCTAAAAACGTGGCTTTCCCGTATCCCGATGTTTTTCTATCCTGAATTCCCGATCTTTAAACAAGGCAATCCCGATTTCCCGTTGCTAAAATCGGCCGATCCCGGCGTCCCGAAAATGGTCTCGCCCCCCCTCAACAATGTAGTATTATTAGATTAAAAACACTTATGCCAATATAAGAGGAGCATTAATTAGGTCCTTTGTACTTAAAATCCCCCATTGAGATTTCGAAAAGTTGGCAGGTATACAATATATTATACTTGTTATGTACATGATGTAGTTCATAAATATTAATGGATTTTATGAACAAAAAGAAAGGTGGTCGATCAAAAATTGTGCCTATTCAAATATATAATATTCATTAGACATGTTACAGGGGACATTTATTCCAATATTGTTTTTAATATTTGAAAATTGATATTAAAATATGATCATTTCAGATTTTTTTTTTTAATGTAAAATATTATGTATAAAAATATGATAAATAATTTTATCACCTTTAATGAGTAGGGATGATTATGCAGTATAAACATGATAAAGCAATTTATGTTGATTATGATTTTATTAGAAATTATAGAGTTACAAATGTATATATTATGAATAGTGGGTATGCATAATTATAATAAAATAAAACCATATATTACAGAATTTAGTGCAACCATTAGTCAACATTAAGCAGCAATTTTTCATATGACTTTGATCTGAATAATCTTTTCAACTGTTGTAATAACAATTAACAAACCGATACACAACCTTTTTTCTTTAAAAGTTATAAAAACAACTCAAATAGTTAGATTTGCAAAATCCTTTCCTTAAAAGGTTAATTAACTGTTGTTTTTGTGCATTTGCGGAAAAATCCTGTTCTGTCATCTATTTCCGTTGATATTGTATGCATGTCAACTCCAAATATAAAAAAAGATGTTAATCAGACAAATTTGCCACTGCACATTAAGCAACCAACAATCAATCAGACAATTACCAAATAAAAATGATGTATCTAGTTTTCTTCTCTTCTAAAATGTTTTGTAATGGTAATTTTGTATTCGTTTTGAGTTTCCTCTGTTCTGAAATTTACCTGTTTCCAAGTTAAAAAAAAATATTTCCTTATTGCCTACCTGACCTTTTTTTCAGCTTGCTCAAAACATGTTGGAGTCAAAAAACAGGCATATATAAATTTTTTAGGCATATGTTATTTTGGCCTAAGCTCACTATATAAATTTTTTAGGCATATGTATTTTTGGCCTAAGCTCACTGCATTTAGCATGTTTAGGAGTAGAAGCAATTAAAAACTGCTCAGACAGAAAAATGAAAATGTGTCTAAGTAGGATGACATCTCTTTCTGCAGACTTACCTTGTGAACTAGCACATTAAATATCTGGCTCAGTGTGTACATTTCTTACAAAGCAAAGTTTAAGCAAACATTAAAAACATTAACCTGTAATCATTGTGAAATGGATTTAATAATTGCCTTTGGACATTAAACACTAACATCATCATCAAAACAGTTCATTTAATGTTAAACTGTGCACAGATATCTTTCCATACAAAAAAACAAAAATGATGAAAAGTTTTCTTTATCTCTTTTTGCATGTGTAGATGAGTAAAAGTAGAGGTTGCCCAGTTGGGAATAAATGTCAATGAGACAGTACACATAAATGTAACAAAAACAACATCTAGAGGTCAACATGAAACTTGAACAGAGAAAAAGTGCTCATACTACATTATACTAAATCATCTTGAGTCTTAATACACAAATTGTACATCAATTTAACAGAGACTGCCAAAGATAAGCCATCAAAATTAATGAGATCAAAATCCAGTTTTTCAGAGATTCTCTTTAATTTCCTCCTATTCCTATTTGTAATCTCCTTGTACATTGTACAGTTGTATCAGAAAATATTACTGACACACATTTAAAATGCAAGTATTCATGTTATTGTAGTTTGTTCATATGTACATGTACAGTGATAAGACCCCTAGACATAGCCCTTTTTACTTCTAAGAAGAGAAGAGTAGATGGAATGTCTAGCAATCTTATAATTTTACACTGTGCACAAGTCCCAGACTCTATCTGATGAAATTGTATGAAACAAAACATGCAAAAAGTAATGCAAGATGAATTAAAGGTCGCATAAGAAATTTTTTTCAAAGTGAATATTATAAAGATGTATCTTAGAATTATTCACTCAGTCAGTACCTCATTATGTAATTTCCATATCTTTATATATTATACAATTAAGAATGGAAACAGGAAACATGTCATGTAAAGAGTTAAACATCAGATTCTACTTACAATATTGAAGGAATGTACTAAATTTCTTATCTCAATCTGTCATGGTTTAATCTTTCAGCTATGAAAACCAAACTATTTTACTGTCAAATGAACAAGATGGGGACATTAATGTCAAATCTGATAAAAAGAAAAAGCATAAACATGAAAGAGAAAAAAGTAAAGATGAAATGACATCTGATTATACAGACAACAAGGACACCTTTTTAACTGAGAAGGATGTGCAAATTGCTACAAGTAGTATTGTTCCCATGGAAACTTCACCAGCAAAACAAAAACACAAGAAAAAGAAGCATAAGCATAAACATGAAGCTGTTGATGAGATACAAACTGAACAACAAACAGAAAAGAATAGAAAAAGGAAATTCTGTACTGAGGAAAAAATAGTAGATGTCAGTTTTGATGAGCCTGTTGGTAAGAAAAAGGCAGTTAATTCATGTGAACATGACTTGTCTTTGAAACCCAGTTTGTCACAAGAAAACATTTCCATTGAAAGATTTCCAGATTCAGACCCTGCTCAAACTAAACTTACCATAGGTGTTGCAGATGAAAACAAAATGAAAAATGAGATTTTATTAGAGGAACATGGAAAAGGAAGTGAAAAGAAAGAGAAAAGAAAAAGGATAAGAAAAAGGAAAAGAAAAAGTGTAGCAGAAACTTCTTTTCAAACACGGAACTCTGACACTAATGTTGTAAAAAATGCTTGGAATTGGAACACCGGAAAAACTTTGTATAGTGAACCAATAAATTCAAATGCAAATAGAAACCATAAAAAATTTATGTCTGACAGCAACGATAGTGGTGAAGACACTAAAACTGATAAGAGTGGGAAACATAATTCATCAATCAATTATTCATACAATTATGATAATACTTCAGAAAGTATGCATCAGACTCAAACTAATACGACATATAACAATTCATATTCAAGACAGTCCAAATCAGACAATCAGATTATCTGTGATAGAAAACCAGACTGGAATAAATCAGTAAGTAGTATTGGTCATGTAGTAGAGACAGGAAGTCCAAATAAACTAAGTGAAAAGATTGCAGACCAACCATCAGTATTGTCAACAAGTTATTTAGCAAATGGAGTTGCTGTGTATTCAAGAAATAGACGAAAACAACAGCAAAATTCAAAACAGTATACTGAGCTAACCAAAGAAGATCAATTGAATACAAAACTAACAAATGTGTCAGTTATTTTACAGGTAATATACAACCTATGAACATGATTGTAGATAAATTCATTATACAAAGAACGATAGCTTATCAAAATGGGTGTCTTCTATAATTCTGAACGGTAGGCTTAATATACAAGATTAAAATTTATTTTATTAAGAAGTAAATAACTGCATAATTAAACATATCATGTTTATTTACTTTACTTAAAATATTTTGGAAATGAAACTGCCCACTGTGAATGTGGCTGGGACATTCAAACTTATTTTTGTCCATCTGTCAGTGTCTGTACAGATTTTGTTAAGTTCTGCATTGAAATCCATTCTGATGATATATAAATGATATAACTACCTCAGTCATTCAGTCATGTCAGTGGTCTTGTGGTAGCGTGTTTGCCTCAAGTGCCGGAGGTCATTGGTTGGAACCCAGACTGTGTCAAATCAAAGACTTGAAAATTGGTATTTCCTGGTTTGCCGCTAAGCATGCAGCATTTAGGAGTAAGAGCAATGACTGATCAGCTCCGAGTCATAATAATGTGTCCCGATAGGGTGACATGTCTTCCTGAGGACTGCTACCTTGTGAACTAAAACATAAAAATTCTGGCTCAGCGTGTTGGTCATTTATGAAGCAGGGTTCATACTCATGTCACATTATCATGTTCTCGTCCTGAATATGCTTTTAATCTGCCACTGGACGTTAAACAGCCATCCATCCATCCATATAAATGATATTTTGCCGTAGTCTAAAGATGACATGCACAGTGTAATATTATGTCTACTAGTTTTGGTTAGTTGGGAAATGATTTGAAAAAATAAAATGATTTCTGTATATCTTTCTGACATATACCATGGATACTGAAACAAGTGACTTTGTAATTTCCTGGCACACCAGTCATTCCAGTAGTCTTACGTGAAGTACTGAGAAAAGTGGTTATGTCAGTCACTGCGATATGTTATTTTGTTTGTTTGTTATGTCAGGCAGTAACTTTCATGAACTAATTTTATTTGATTAATTTTGCAAATAATTATTTACATAGCTTGATATCCATAACATGTATAAAGCATCAAAATATTTAGTTCAAGTCAGTACGCACATATATATATATATGACATAACAAGATTGCCTATCTTAAAATTTATTTATTTTTGAAGAATACAACATTTGATAACAATGAGCAAGGTAATTTAGATCCTGAAAAAGAGACATCAGTTGTTTATGAAGCAGTGCCATTAGATTACAGCAAGTTTCCAGATTTGATTGGTCCACCTAGACCTAGAGATAGACTAGCATATAAAGTAAGTTAATGAAGAAACATAGGCTAATTGCCAATGAGGCAACTATCCAGCAAAGTTCAAATGAAGTAAACTATTATAGGTAACCATACAAACCCATACCCTATAGTCGGCTATAAAAGGCCCAAACATGAAATATATGTAACAATACAATTGAGAAAACTAACAGTCTAATTTATAACGAAACATTTTACGAAAAAAAACAAATGTGACAAGATGAACCAACGACAACCACTGAACTACAGGCTCCTGACTTGGGACAGGCACATAAAGAATATGACTGGATTAAACATGTTTGTGAATGCTCAACCTTCCTCCTAACCTCGGACAGTGGTGTTACAGCACAACATAAGAACAAACTATAAAAACCTGTTGAAAATTCTTAACTCATCAGATTGATACAAAGTAGAAAAACATCTAAAAAACACACAGACCAGAGGTGGCAGGTTATTTATACACCCCTAACAACAAAAAAGACACAGAGTACAGATCTGAGAGTACTCACAGTTAATGACAGCTAGTTCAAAGCCAATAACAACTAAAATAAAATCATGTATCTAAGACTAAAATATCAATCTGTACACATCAAACATCCAATGGATTTAGTGTAAAGACATTATTAACAGTCAGAGAAAAACATGACTGTGCAAGACCAAAATATAGTAAAGTCAAGATATTTGAAGTATTGAGTAAAAGTACTTTCCAGGGAATTTTAATGGAAAGGAGATATGGAACAGCATTTTTGTCTCGCCTTGACAGAGTCAAAAAGCGAGACATAGGTATGCTGTTTCTGGTGGCGGTGGCAGTGTCAACAATGTATTAGTTTGTGATTAGGTCTAGTTTATGGTGAACCACTGGTGGTAGGTCAATGATATTTGGTATGTAGTGTATTAGCATTGGCACATCTCATTTCCATGGAAATTATTTGGCCCTGCCCCCCTCTGTCATGGTCTATTGACTTTGAAACTTTTGCTTCGTTTACATGTATTACATGTATTAGTTTGTGATTAGGTCAGTTTATGGGGAACCACTAGTGGTAGGTCAATGATATTTGGTATGCAGTTTTATTATCATTGGCACATCTCATTGCTATGGAAATATTTGGCCCTGCCCCTAAGTCATGGTCTATTGATTTTGAAACTTTTGCTTAGTCTACATGTAATAGTTTGTGATTAGGTCAGTTTATGGGGAACCACTAGTGATATGTCAATGATATTTGGTATGTAGTTGTATAAGCATTGGCATATCTCTTTTCCGTGAAGATTATTTGGCTATGCTCCCTCAGTCATGGTATATTGACTTTGAAACTTTTGCTTAGTTTACATGTATTAGTTTGTGATTAGGTCAGTTCAAGGGGAACCATTAGTGGTAGGCCAATGTTAATTGGTATGCAGTTGTATAAGCATTCACACATCTCATTTTCATGGAGAATATTTGGCCCCATCCCCTCAGTCATGGTCTATTGACTTTAAAACTTTTGCTTAGTTTACATGTATTAGTTTGTGATTAGATCAGTTTAAGATGAACCGCTAATGTTAAGTCAATGATATTTGGTATGCAAATTTATTGGCATTTGCAAGTCTCGTTTCCATGGCGATTATATAGCCCCACCCCCTGATCATGGTTCATTGACTTTGAAACTTTTACATAGTTTACAATTTAATGTTTAGGTTTGTTTAAAGGGAATGACTTATGATAAGTCAATGGTATTTGGTATGCAGTTGTATTATCATTGGCACATCTCATTTCTATGGAGATTGTTTAGCCATGTACCATCAGTCATGGTTCATTGACTTTGAATATTTGCATAACTTAAATGTTAAAGTATTGATATGTTAATTTCAACATTTGCATTATCAAAATTACAAAAAGGCGAGACATATCTCTGTGTTAACAGTTTATTTTATTTTATTCATGAAAGTTGGTTCTGGAATTTGCTCACTACATGATAGACTTTTATTTCATAGAAGAAGACCTATAGGTAAATGGACATAACTCATAAACATCACTGGTACTTTTGTATCAACCATTTTCAAAAATATATCTTTGGCCTCTAAGTAAATTCAGTTATCTATAATTCTGTTTCACATCAATGCTATAAAGCATTGTTGAAACTGACCATTTCAAATGACTTACAAATATATTATATAGTTATGTCCCATAGTCTAGGTCCTGTTTTTTAATGCTGAGGCTATGTTAAGATGTTATAAATCAGTCATTATCATGATTACAGTACGTCATGAAACTCGGTCCAGAAAAATTATGTGCAGTATGAGATTTAATCATTAATTTCAATTTTCAGCACTTTGTAGATTTGTACATACAAAAATTAGTTCTGTTAAAGTTTTTATATCAATAAGACAAATTTGGTATTAGTCTATGAGACAGCAACCATATATAACATATTAAAAGCAAAAGAGACATCTAGAGGTCAACCTATTTTTGTTTGTTATTGCAAGAGTTTTGTTTGTAAAACATGGTATAGAAATGTTATTGATACAATGCTGTCTATAGAATATATATTACCACAGAAATGCTGGAACATATGATTTTCCTTATATTATATGATTTGACTTATATCTTTAACAGGTTATTGAATTGTCTGAGACATATACACCTGAAGTTTCTGATTATAAGGTATGTTTTCATATTTTCAATATCAATTTTTCATGCAGTAAATATAATTTTAAGTTTCAGGAATAATGAATAGGTGGAACGATCCAAAAATATAACGAAACCAGTCTCCACAGAGGAAGGAAAAAATACAACACCTCTATTCCTACCATGCCTACTATTTGTAATGATTGTAGTATTGTTTCCTACCATGCCTACTATTTGTAATGATTGTAGTATTGTTTCCTACCATGCCTACTATTTGTAATGACTGTAGTATTGTTTCCTACCATGCCTACTATTTGCAATGATTGTAGTATTGTTTGCATAAGAGATGTGGAGTATTTGTCAATGAGTTTTTTTTAAATACCCAAAGGACTAAAAAAAAAACGAAGATATCTATCTTTTAAAGTCAATATGCATCCTTTACAAAGAAAACAAGTATCTATAAAATATGTAAAGACTGGAGGTCTAAATCCTCAGGAGTGTAAAAAAGATTGGAAGAAATGTATCAGAGACTATGCATAAAGATCTGTCTCCTAAACACAAATTGTGTTCCCTAAAGAACACAAACCTCAAGATTTGGCCAAAAACACTTCACTCACCACTTTTGTATTTTGGAACAGGCACATCAACACATCAACACACAACAGTTGGTTGTCCTGTCATGTCTGTTTATAAGATTTATTAAGAATATCAGTTAAAGAAACATGATAGAAATATTTAAGATGAGTAATACATGTATATTAATAAAAGAACAACTTTTTTAGGAGGCCATAGTTGTCAGTTACACACCAGCAACAAAAACTGTAGAGTTAGATAATCAACAGGAAGGAAAGTCGAGTATGTTATGTATTGTTAATTTATGGAAAAATGACCCTCAAGTCTGATAATTTTATTTTTGTTGGTGGTGAAACTAGTTAAAATTATGAATTTTCTTATGGAGGAGCAATTAATCTATAATTTAAATAATTACTGAAGAGCACTTAAGGATGTAAAGAAATGTAAAGTATGATATAAAATAACAACTATGAATAAGCAGATATGGTGTCAACATCAATGAGCTACCCAACAACACACATCAATCAAATAAGACATCTGAAAGTCACCACACAATCTCTGATGATTTAAACACTTCAAGACCAGTTTTAAAACACCAAGCAGATAGACAAGTACTGTATAAATTCAACAGGGTCTACTACATATCTGTCACCAACACAAATTTCTTAATGAACAAATAAAACATTTAAAAAAATTATTTGTGTTTAAGTTACCATGAATGGTGACTTGAACAGTGAGTAGTAAGTATGCAGCTGCATTCTTAACTTTACAAATCGCATATTTAACTGATAAGATGTCCAAGAATTCAAACAAAATTTAAGCAAAAGCTTGCATTTGTGAGGTAACTTCTTTTGTTTACAAGAAAACATCAAAATTCACAAGCTGAGAATGAAAAAAAATGTTTGATATTATTTGCAACAGTTTAGCTTACAAAAGTTCAATTCTGTTTGCTGTTTATTTTTATGAAAAACTATGTTGTAGAGATTCTCTAGTTGAGCTTACATTACTTTATTATACTGCATACTGTGGATTAAGGAAAACTTGTATTTTTGTGAATATTTGACTTCATGTTTTTGCCAAAGGCTGAATACAAGCCTAGAAAATATGTATGGTCAGATCATATGTTTTCGTACGTCATATGAATTTCTGCTATGCTTGCTTTGTCAATGGAAATTGTGACATCACAATGCATTCTTAATAGCATGAAAACCGATAATACAAGGATACTTTTTAATTCATGGTGTACCTATACCCAGGAGATCCACAAAAGTTGGTATCTCATGAATAATAATGAATCCACAGTACTAAAAACACAATCTCCGGCGCAGAGATCATATCCGTTCCGTTCAATACTACGTAACACTACACTCAATATGACCTCTGCCATACCTTTTTTTGCGTACTTTTTCTTGCCAACCTCTAAACAAAAATGAAATTGAATATGATGATTTTTTGAATAAAATTTAATAATCAATCTTCAATTTTAAAAGAATAACAACATTTTTAGTGAAATATACTTATTTATTTTATGTTTATTAAATAAAAAATGATTGTCGCACTTCTGTTATAGATTTTATGTCCTGTCAAATAATGTAAACAAAGTAGTCTGCAGAGGGATTATTTTTATTTCCGTATCGGCGTATTTTATACATATTTCACTTTATTTATGGATTTCCTCTTCTATTTTTAATATTTGAGATGTCTTGTAATGCCTGTTATACCACAAATTCGTGGAGATTTCATTCTTTGAAATCTGAACTTTTTTCCTTTTTTGACAAATTTACAACCCATTTTGTATCTATTTACATACCAACATCCAAAAAAACAACATTGTGTAACTCTTGCTATTGTATGATAAAGAAATTAAAAGAATGGAGTGAGAACATATACAGGTAACTAAAATGCATAAATTATCTATATTATACATCCAATTGCATTTGGTCTTGAACATTTCTGTATACACTACTTTGTCTTTATGACTTTAATGTCTTTTATATGTGAAAATGGTAATCCTTGTCGGTGTCCTGATTAACTAAATTGTTCATGACCATTGGATTGTAAAGTCCCCTCCCTCTTTACCCTCAAATAAAACAAGGGATAATGATTTGGATCCTTGAAGTTAAAAGAAGTCCATCTGAATAACCCAAAAAATGTTGTTTCAAAGAAAAAGCAATTTTTAGAGTGGTAAGAAATATAGTGGACCATGTTGGAACTGAGAACTAGCCACCAAAAAGTGTCAATTATCATGATTATAATTAATTACAATGAAATAGAAAAATATTCTTACAAATCCCTTCTATATTGGTCCAAGCTAATACATGTAATAGTAATAATTTCAATTTGTTGCCAAGGCCACAGGAAATATAACTGAAAGAAATCAGGGACTGTCACTTTTAACTCCACATAAAACAAATTCATGTGGGCAAGATCCCCTGTTTGCTTTCACCACTAGTTTCTGATTTGAGTTTGTGAAATTTATATTATCAAATTGCCAGATTTATGTGAATGGTGTGAGTGGTCCCAACCTTATAAAATGCATGCTATTATACAGCATAAGCAATATAAGGATATAGCCTAGACTGACCCTGCTTATATAATTTTCTGAATTTTGAGTTAACAAATTTGTTTTATAATTAACAACTGATTAATTAATATTGAAATATTAAACACAAAATAGCTTGAGATTATTAGATATTATTCTTTTAACATGGTGTATTTGATACTCTGATATACACATTCTTCTGTAACATATATATCCAAATATTTTTCAAGAAATTATTTGCAATTCACATGATTGATAAATGGAACTTCATATTTTCATGACCTGGTGACCTACTTTTAATCGAGTGGAGTACAAGTAAATTATATAGTTTAATCAATTAAGGCATTCCAAGATAAACAAGTATACAGTCTGTTTTTTTTAAAGAATTTATTGTTTCTTCTCTTATCTATGAGAAGATTGTGTTCACTTACTGATTAATTTTTCCTTCTAGTTTTAATTGATAGATAAAAAAAAAAATTTTTTATCACATGAATTACAGTTTTAAATTTGATGATTTTCTTGTAGAACTGAGAGAATTGTTACATTTAGGGATCATAATCATGATAATGTGCTTGAGGAACAACATTTGGATACTGAAACAGAGTATGTGTAGATAGTTGATAAATTCATATATTTGTATGAAATGAGAAGTGGGGTTCATCATGTTCATGTCAACAATACAGCTACCAAAACACAAAAAAAAAGAAGAACTTGAAAATACTAAATATTAACACAAATATTTATTGTACTCTTGACCTCACTTTGATATTAGATAATTGGTTATGATTGCCAATGATACAACTATTTACCTGAGAATAAAAGCCTTTATATTACCTTCAACACTGAGTGACATGATGGAAATCTTACTGATAATTTAGCTGCTATTAAATGTAAGACATAAAATAAGACTCAATACACATTTCTTGTTCTCAGTTGTATATTAGATGTTGGATTATACTTGATAGAAGTTTTAGACTTTGATTTGAAATAGGAGTAAAAAAATATTCTGCTTTCAGTAAGGAAAAAGAACAAAAAATACCATATTAAAAATAGTACTATGATGGTAGCACTCTAGATAACAATATACAGATGGACCATATAATTATTGAATTGTAAATATTCGTATATTTGTGTGCTTTCATGTTGCATAGTTTTAATTTTGATTTTAGAATTTCACTTGATCCACAGACAACTGATTGTTTAAGGAATGGTCACTTTGGTTCCATTGAGTAAGTAACTGACAGTCATTATGTCTTCATATTGTGTGAATCATTATGCTATCCATTCATTATATGCCCGTTTACGGGATGTATTATGGTATACCGTTGTCCGTCTGTCCGTCCGTCTGTCTGTCCGTCCGTCCGTCGTCAACATGTCGGACAATAACTCAAAAACGCTTTGACCAATTCGCATGAAACTTTAATGAAATGTTTATATCTATTGACGTGAGCTCCCTTTCGTTATATGCATTACAGCTATAAGAGATTTTTTATTTAAATTTTCAAAATTTTAAATGTAAGAACATCATGGCACAATCAAATTATTAAACATTTTTGGAAATAAATGTTCCTTTATTTCTAAGGCATATATTGAAGGCTGCATATATTATTTACATGTGTTATGGTTAAGATGGCTGTACCTAGAAAATTATACTTATTCAAAAAGAAATATAATGATATATATATTTGAAGTCTAGAACCTGGTCTATCACATACAGTTGGTCCAGCAGGGGATGCAAGTAGTATAGACAAAACAGAGTAAGTAATTATCTGTAGGAATTTTTAAATAAGTGATGTCAACACATTTTAAATTATATAAAAAGAAGATGTGGTATGATTCCCAATGAGACAACTCTCCACAAGAGACCAATGACACAAAAATTCACAGCTATAGGTCACTGTACGGCCTTCAACAATGAGCAAGGCCTACACCGCATAGTCAGCTATAAAAGGCCCTGAAAGCACAAATGTAAAACAATTCAAATGACAAAACTAATGGCCTAATCAATGTTCAAATAAAATAAACGAAAAAACAAATATGTAGCACAGCAACAAACAACCATCACTGAATTACAGGCTCCTGACTTGGGACTGGCACATACATACAAATTGTGGCGGGGTTTACAATGTGAGCGGGATCCCAATCCTCCCCCTAACCAGGGACAGTGGTGTAACAGTACAACATGTACATGACAAACAGCTACCCAGTACCCAATAAGAAAAAACAAAAACATTTAGAAGCCATTAGTCCATATCCAGTGACATAACAAAGGTCTTCAAACACAAACATAATGTTATAGTTGATTGTTTAAAATTTATTCTGCAAAGCAACCTGCTAGCATAAAAGTCTATGGTCAGAAGAATAATTGTAGCAAAAAATAGAATATCGGTCATTTATGGGAATTTAAAAAAAAAATGTAATAAATTGTATCACCTTTTACTTTATACACTATTTTTACACAATATGAAAATATGAGTATAAACATATGTGGTTTTTGTCGAGCCTGCAACTTTTGTCGCAGAAAGCTCGACATAGGGATAGTGATCCGGCCGAGGCAGCGGCGGCTAACTTCTTAAAAGCTTTATATTTTAGAAGGTGGAAGGTCTGGATGCTTCATACTTTCTATATGGATGCCTCATGTTATGAAGTTTCCGTCAGTCACATGTCCAATGTCCTTGACCTCATTTTCATGGTTCAGTGACTACTTGAAAAAAAAGTTAAGATTTTTTGTAATTTTAAATTCTCTCTTATTATAAGTAATAGGATAACTATATTTGGTATGTGCGTACCTTGCAAGGTGCTCATGCCCGTCAGACAGTTTTCACTTGACCTCGACCTCATTTCATGGATCAGTGAACAAGGTTAAGTTTTGGTGGTCAAGTCCATATCTCAGATACTATAAGCAATAGGTCTAGCATATTCGGTGTATGGAAGGACTGTAAGGTGTACATGTCCAACTGGCAGGTGTCATCTGACCTTGACCTCATTTTCATGGTTCAGTGGTTATAGTTAAGTTTTTGTGTTTTGGTCTGTTGTTCTTATACTGTATGCAATAGGTCTACCATATTTGTTGACTGTATGGAATGATTGTAAGGTGTACATGTCTAGCTGGCAGGTGTCATCTGACCTTGACCTCATTTTCATGGTTCAGTGGTCAAAGTTAAGTTTTTGAGTTTTGGTCTTTTTTTCTAATACTATATGCAATAGTTCAACTATATTTGGTGTATGGAAATATTTTATGATCTATTTGTCAGTCACGCAGGTTTTTTTTTATCTTGACCTCATTTTCAAGGTTCATTGCTCAGTGTTAAGTTTTTGTGTTTTGGTATGTTTTTCTTAAACTATATGGTTTATGTGACAGTTGTAATAAAGCTTTATATTTAGGACTATCAACATAATATCAATGATTAGTAAAGAAGGCGAGACATTTCAGCGTGTGCACTCTTGTATTCATATAAACAGTTTTATATAACTTTGTTTCAGTATTAATGACACAGTTATTCCAGAGAATGCTGGCAAAGTATCATCAGGAGTAAAAAGACCTACTACAGAGTATATGATATTTATATGTTTAGGTCATATGGTCAATTTTTCTTGCATCATTTCAAATCCATTATTTTCAGTCTTGAATGTACATAAACTAGCTTGACCTAAATCATTTATGATTTTATACTTACAAATTATCTTCTAAATGCCTCATGTTACTCTGATTTATAGAACTAATGCCACTTTATGATAGTCGTCAATTTTTTTTAAAAATTAACTGTTAATAGTACATGCTTTCATGAGGTCAAAAGGGTCCAAAATTAAACTTTGTTTGATTTCATCAAAAATTGAATTATTGGGGTTCTTAGATATGTCGAATCTGACCGTGTATTTAGATATTTAATTTTGGGTCCAGTTTTCAAATTGGTCTACATTAAGGTCCAAAGGGTCCAAAATTAAACTTAGTTTGATTTTAACAAAAATTGAATATATGGGGTTCTTTGATATGCTGAATCTAAACATGTATTTAGATTTTTGATTTTGGGCCCAGTTTTCAAGTTGGTTCAAATTTGGGTCCAAAATTAAACTTTGTTTGATTTCAACAAAAATTGAATATATGGGTTTCTTTGATATGCTGAATCTAACCATGTATTTTAATTTTTTATTTGTGAGCCCCGCTATCAAATTGATTTATATTGAGGTCAAAAGGGTCAAAAATTAAACTTTGTTTGATTTCATCAAAAATTGAATTATTGGGGTTCTTTGATATGCCAAATCTAACCGTGTATTTAGATTTTTAATTTTGGGTCCCATTTTTATACGACCGCAAAAAATTTTTTGGGATCGTATAATGGTATGATGTCGTCAACTGCGTCGTCGTCGTCCGAAGACACATAGGTTTCCAGACAATAACTTTAGTTTAAGTGAATGGATCTCTATGAAATTTTTGAAAGAAGGTTCAATACCACAAAAGGAAGGTTGGGATTGATTTTGGGGATGATGGTCCCAACCGTTTAGGAATTAGGGGCCCAAAAGGGGCCAAAACAAGCATTTTTCTAGTTTCAGGATAATAACTTGTGTATAAGTATTTTGATTGCTCTGAAATTGTACCACAATGTTTAATACCACAAGTAGAAGGTTGGGATACATTTTAGGGGTTATGGGGCCAACAGTTTATGAATTAAGGGCCAAAAAGGGGCCAAAAACAAGCATTTTTCTAGTTTCCAGACAATAACTTGTGTGTAAGTGTATGGATCTCTCTGACATTGTACCACAAGGTTCCATATAATAAAGGGAAGGCTGTGATTGAGTTTGGGGTTAATTGCCTCAAACATGTAGGAATTAGGGGCCAAAAAAGGGCCAAAAACAAGCATTTTTCTAGTTTCCAGACAATAACTTGTGTTTAAGTGTATGGATCTCTCTGAAATTGTACTACAATGTTCCATACTACAAAGGAAAGGCTGAGATTGAGTTTTGGGGTTATTGCTCCAAGGGGGGTTTCAAAAAGTTGGGGGGGCAGGGATTTTATTCATTAAAAAAGGGGGATTTTCCAGTTTTGGGACAATGACTCAAAAATGCTTTTAGCAGTTTTGATGAAACTTTGGTGAATTGTTTATATCTATTGACTTAAGCTCCCATTCGATTTTTATAAATTTTAGAGTTTATGTTTCAGAGTTATGTGATTTTATTCATAAAAAAGAGGGGATTTTCCAAAATTTTCCAGTTTTCGTACAATGCTTTGAGCAGTTATCATGAAACTTTGGTATCGAACTAATTTTCCCTAACTGCGAGTACTCTTATATCGGTGCTTTGTGTCTATTGTTTTTATGTTAATTGTTGGTTTTTATACGCCCTTTTAGGGAACGTATTCTGGTATACCGTTGTCCGTCGTCAACATGTCATACAATAACTCAAAAACGCTTTAACCAATCTGCATGAAACTTTGGTGAATTGTTTATATCTATTGACATGAGCTCCCTTTCGTTTTTTATAAATTTTAGATTTTACGTTTCCGAGTTATGGGATTTTATTCATAAAAAGGGGGTGATTTTCTGGTTTCCGACGATATCTTTAAAGTGCTTTGAGCAGTTTTCATAAAACTTTGGTGACTGGTTTATATCTATTAAGATAACCTCCCTTTAGTTTTTCATGAATTTCTAATATGACATTGAGAAGTTATTGAACTTTATTCTTTAAAAAAGCGACAGGCGTATCATGCTCTCATGGTGCAGCTGTTTATTTTTGTATTAAATCATTTAAAAAATATCTGTGAAATTGCCAAAATGTTCTTACTTAAGTTGAGGGGGTAGACCATGGTTAAGGAACATGGGAATGAGGTGCCAGGGTAGAGGGGGATGGAAAAAATAAGGATATGCTGGTGGAAAAAATTGGCTGTTTTTTGTCTTGGAGTAAGGGGTAGGGAAGTGGGAATTTGGTGTTGGAAGAGGGAATTGGGAGTTGGAGGGGGTAAGAAATTTGGAATCAGGAACCCCCTGTACACCCCCCTCTAAATTAAGAAGATGTGTTTTGATTAAATTTATTTCACTTTTTGCTATACCTCTACTTAGTTTTTATACGACCGCAAAAAATTTTGCCGTCATATATTGGTATCACGTCGTCGTCAGCGTCGTCCGAAGACATTTGGTTTCTGGACAATAACTTTAGTAAATGTAAATAGAAATCTATAAAATTAAAACACAAGGTTTATAACCACAAAAGGAAGGTCGGGATTGATTTTGGGGGTTATAGTCCTAACAGTTTTTAATAAATATGTGGTTTAGGAAGAATCTAAGTTGCCATAGATTAGTTAAATCGAGGAGTAGAACCAGTAAAAATCATCACTAGTTTAGTAATAATACTCTCAACTCTTACACTAAAATCTATGTCAATAAAGATGTCATATCTATGAGATTGAAAATAACCATTGGATACATAGTAACATCAAATTTTTCATTTGAACCATAAAT